AGTAATGCAGTACTCTCACACATGCACAAGAGTACAGCAGTAACATCTGCCCCAGGCAACTGAAGGGCCAGGAGGAGAAGAAGACCAGCCTAAAGAGGATGCCGGCGCAAGCGAAGGAAAGATTCAGGTAAGATAAACCTACTTTTGCCTGCCCCCCCTAGCAAACGGACCTCCAGCAGCAATGCCACTGTCGGGTGTCTTGCAAATTAGACAAAGTCCCCAGACGGATACATTTCTGCTTTAAGGCCAGAGTAGCCAAACTGAGAGCGTAGCTGGTTTAGAGAATTTTTCCAGTTCAGCTATTTATACCTTACATTTAAAATTCACTTTGAATTCTCACTTTAGTAAATAATCCTGTGCATTTTGAGGAATTGAAAAACAAAATTCAAATGTTGTCAAAATAGTTGCACTGGAATCAAAAAACGCCAATTTACCTGTTTTCCCATTTTGGGTAAATCGGCCTGAATGTTTAAAGTCATCACAGTTCACTTTTTATTTAATAAAAACTACATTATTATTCGAAAAAAACGTGAATTGTCAGAAAATGAACAGAGAATTCAGAACGTGAAGCCAAAATAGTTGAGTAGAAGGACTTTTTACAAATCCGCTATACAGTATTATCGTAGCATTCCCTGGTCATCTCTAGATAATTAACACTGTTCTGGTTAGTGCAAACCCTCGCTGTGCAGGTCCACCCCACCAATTAAAAATGAAATAAAATAAAGCTAAAACCTCTTTTCCAGCTTTAAAGGGACAGTTAAGGCACCATAACAACTTAATCTAAATAAAGTTGTTTTGGTGCAAGGCATCATAAGTCAAGGTGTCAAATCATTTTCAAACGTTTTTCTCCAGTACTGATCTCAGTCCCACGCCGGCGATCGCGGTTGGGGGGACTCCCAGGGAGCCCCCCCCCGCGGCAGATCCTCCTCCTCCGGTCCCCCCCGGCCATGTGAGAGTGAGGTCCTTGCGAGGACCTCACAATCACATGGCCGGGATAGCTGCCTCCTGCATTGCCAGCAGGGGGAATGTCTGTAATGACAGTTAGTCCCCCTGCTGGCCGGAAATAAAATAAATGAATGTTAAAATAAGTGTAAAAAAAAAATATATATATATATATACTTAGATCATATATATATTATATATATATGATCTAAGTATATATATATACACATATACATACACACACATACATTGTCTAGGTGTATTTTACTATTAATATATAAATAATTATATATATATATTAATATCAAATTACACGTAGACTGATCCTGATTAAATATATATGATTATTGTTATATATATATTTATATATAATATAAAAAAATTTAATATGTAAAGACGTTAAAAAATAAAATAAAATAAAAAATAATTAAAAAATATATAGATGTGTGTTATTTCATTCTAACTCTATTGTGATATTAATATATATATATTTATATCAAAATACATGTAGAACGAAATAATATATATATCTACATACATAAATATATACGTATATATCACTATATATACCTATATATAAATAAAAATATTAAAAACAAATTATATATATATACACATATAGATTCACATACGTATATATATACATATATTAATTCTACCTATATATTTATGTAATATTTTTACATAATTAGGTATCTTAATTAATTACAATTAGCGGGACCTGCCTGACAACCCATGCCGAAAGTAAAGGGAATTTAATTTGCTAGCACTATATTTAACCCTATAGCTTTCCAAGACACCATAAAACCTGTACATGGGGGGTACTGTTCTACTCGGGAGACTTCGCTGAACACAAATATTAGTGTTTCAAAACAGTAAAATGTATTACAACGATGATATCGCCAGTAAAAGTGACGTTTTTGCATTTTTCACGCACAAACAGCACTTACACGGACGATATTATTGCTGCGATACTTTTTCTTGTTTTGAAACACAAATATTTGTGTTCAGCGAAGTCTCCCGAGTACAACAGTACCCCTCATGTACAGATTTTATGGTGTTTTCAAAAGTTACAGCGTCAAATATAAGGCTTGTGTTTCATTTTTTTCACATTAAAATTCGCCAGATTGGTTACGTTGCCTTTGAGACCCTATGGTAGCCCAAGAATGAAAATTACCCTATGATGGCATACCATTTGCAGTAGTAGACAACCCAAGGTATTGCAAACAGGGTATGTCCAGTCTTTTTTAGTAGCCACTTAGTCACAAACACTGGCCAAAATTGGCGTTTTTGCATTTTTCACACACAAACAAATACTAACGCTAACTTTGGCCAGTGTTTGTGACCAAATGGCTACTAAAAAAGACTGGACATACCCCATTTGCAATACCTTGGGTTGTCTACTATTGCAAATGATATGCCATTATGGGTGTAAATTTCTTTCCTGAGCTACTATAAAGTCCCAAAGGCAACGTAACCAATCTGGCGAATTTCAATTTCAAATGTAACGTGCTATATTTGACCCTGTTACTTCCCAAAACGCCATAAAACCTGTACATAGGGGGTACTGTTTTACACGTGAGACTTTGCTGAATACAAATATGTGTATTTTATTGCAGTAAAAGCAAACCGTATTATGACATTGACAGTTAAAATGTCATGTAGAACTAAAAAAATCAAAGAAAATCTTATTTTCTCCCATTTTTTTCATATTAAATTATGTTTCATAGCTAAATATTTGATATTAAATGAAAGCCCTGTTTCCCCTGAATAAAATGATAGATAATAAGGGTGGGTGCATTTAATATGAAAGAGGTGAATTACGGTTGGACAGACATGTAGCGCAAATGCCAGGTTATGTTTACATTTTGTTTAGTTCACGTGTACATTTGGCTCAGTCCTTAAGGGGTTAAGTGAATAATACCTTAGAATGTTCCCAGGCCCACTCGCTGTGTAATGTGTATGTTGTCAACCTCTGTTAATTTTTTTAAATTTTTTTTTTTGGTTTAGGCACTGTGACACAAGAGGCTTATTCATGTGAGCAGGAATTGTGAAACATAGACAAGGAATAGATGGTAGATAGATAGGAATAGATAAATTGACTAACTGTAAAAAATATCCAACTCCACTATCTTTCCATCTTACTTTAGCCTAAACTTTGCAATCTCAATCCCCTTGTCAATCGCATGTTTCCTGGTTTAGACAATGAATGGATATGTTACCAATAGAAAAAAAAAAACAACTGCATTTTTTTTAATTCACTACATAGGGATGGATTTCTGAATAGGCCCACTAGGCATCTGCCAAAGGTGCACATCAGAGACAAGAGCGTGTCTGTGACAATTTTTAAATTACAGGCTTTTTAAAAATTTTATTTATTGCTTCTGCATAAAATGACGAGTCTCTTTAACCCTGACAGCAAGCAAGATGGCGGGACACATGGGCGTGTCAGTAGACCTGACTAGCATTGTAGGTACAGCTGTTGTTAATGGCTAGTATTGAGAATTGCACTGAGGGCAAGTCAATATCTCTCTACAGTAGCTCCATTTGTTATCCCCCTGGTAACACATGAATGGGGCCATTTATAAATCAGATACCCAACAAGTAGAATCCTCCAATTCCTTGTAACTTTGGACTGGTAACTGTTAGTGACGATAATAATGCAATATATTTAGAATTATTGCGTGCCAAAACCTACAGTGTTTGTCACAGGTATTATAAGTAAATAATGGATAAGTACCTGTAACTTCTGTGTGGCTGTACAACTCAGGCAAATATCTATTTTTTAAAATACAAGTGCCAGTGACCTTTTGGCTCAGACCATTATATACCTGCAAGTACAACTGCTAGTGGCCTTCTGCCACATATTTTAAATGTGTGCCAGGAGACCAAGTGGCACTCGGAAGTAAAATAAAAATAAAAAATGATTGTACATACCAGACGGCCCCTGGAACTGTGGCACTGGTAACTAAAATAATGCATATCAAAATGGCATATGCTGGTGACCTGCTAGGTACAGATTTTTTCGTTTTTTACAGTGACGCATATGAATATTTTACAAGGTTTTGTTTTTCGGAGAGGGGATGCTTTACATTTCTGTGCCTACATTCACCTGGTTATTATAATTTACCAGGTTATTATCACGATAATATTTTGTGATTATTACTTACTGCTCTGCATTTCGATCTCTGGAGTTTCTTATGTAAGTTCGCAATAAAGATATTGGAAAACTATCAATACCCCACAATATCTATTGTTGTGAGTAACCTGGCACTATTTATTTATGTATTATTTATTTAATGAAATATTTTACCAAGCAGAATACATTGAGATATGTCTCATTTTCAAGTATGTCCAGGACCCACAAACACAGCATTGTTACAATAGGGTACAATATAAAAATACAAAATAATATTAATATGCACATATATACATTTAACACAGAACGGGTAAGAAATATAAAACATCTTAACATTGTTTTTTTTTAGCATGCTGGTTGATCTGTTGCAACCTTTTCGCAGTTAACCTTTCATTGTCCGGAGTGTTGTTGCACACTATTCTTATTGACCACTGGCTGATTCTAAAAAGAATTTTTAATAGCCGTCAAAAAGGTTGAACACAACCTGTGGTAGAACAACAATTTTTTTAATGCTGACAAAGCATCATGGGAGTTGTAGTCCCATAACATCTGGGGAATCTACATTTTCCCTTTCCCTTGATTAATGTAAAACCCCTGTAGGTTTTGTTTTAAAATTGTATTCTTATTTATTATTATTATAGGTGAAAATTATACTTGAAACAACCATAACAGGTGTCTTGTTTGCCTTTTCATTGGGAAAAACCCAACCTCTAAAAACCCAAGGGCCAGGGAGACAACTTCATTTTTATATTGCTATTAATGAGTCACACTTGAAAAATATAGGGAAAAACTGCTGATCTTGGGGAAAAAATAAAAACAAAAAACAAACAAACAAACACAAAATCTCCAGCACAGCTGCAGTGACAGCTTCCTTATTTGAGCCTGAATTCTGGCAATTCCTAATTTAATTCAGTGAGCAGTGAATAGACCCCCACCCAGGGCAGGGCAGAGGGGCACAGCAGGGCAGGGCAGAGGGGCACAGCAGGGCAGGGCAGAGGGGCACAGCAGGGCAGAGCTGGTGATGTGAGTGGGAGCTGAGGATCCTGGGGATACTGAGTGTCCTGGATCCACCCCTGGCTGCTGAGATCACTGGAGACATTGAAAGCAGCGGATCAAGTGCACTGTCCTGTAATCGATTGCCGAGCGCCTGGAGCTGCTGCCAGCCTTTATGTATTGGCCGTGCGTCTGGGGAAGGCTGGCTGGCTGGCTGGCTGCTGCTGCTTGATCCGTTTCTCTGGGTTTGACCAGCTGTCCCGGGCTAACCCCTGCCTGGCTCTGCTGAACATGGAGGAAGTAAAAGCTGGATTACCCTTAGCTACAGCACAACTGCTTTCGTTTCCATAGCTAACTGCAGTGCACAAGGCAGCCGGAGGCAGGGACAGCCATACCGGGGGATGGAAGAAGAGTGGCACCGCTGAGGTAAAGAAGGCAGCCCTGCAGCACTGTGCGGGTTATGGGGAGGGGGTGGCTAGTTATTTTGTATCCACTCACAGTGCCAGCCGGGGACTTGTTGCTGTCAGGATGATGGGAGGTGTTGGCAAAAGGGGCTGACAGCTTCCCTGGCAGGTCCATGCCACCTGTGTCTGGGAGGGGGCCAATAGCTTCCCTGGCAGGTCCATGCCACCTGTGTCTGGGAGGGGGCTGACAGCTTCCCTGGCAGGTCCATGCCACCTGTGTCTGGGAGGGGGCTACTAGCTTCCCTGGCAGGTCCATGCCACCTGTGTCTGGGAGGGGGCTGACAGCTTCCCTGGCAGGTCCATGCCACCTGTGTCTGGGAGGGGGCTGACAGCTTCCCTGGCAGGTCCATGCCGCCTGTGTCTGGGAGGGGGCCAATAGCTTACCTGGCAGGTCCATGCCACCTGTGTCTGGGAGGGGGCCAATAGCTTCCCTGGCAGGTCCATGCCACCTGTGTCTGGGAGGGGCCATAGCTTCCCTGGCAGGTCCATGCCACCTGTGTCTGGGAGGGGGCTACTAGCTTCCCTGGCAGGTCCATGCCACCTGTGTCTGGGAGGGGGCTGGCAGCTTCCCTGGCAGGCCCATGCCACCTGTGTCTGGGAGGGGGCTACTAGCTTCCCTGGCAGGTCCATGCCACCTGTGTCTGGGAGGGGGCCAATAGCTTCCCTGGCAGGTCCATGCCACCTGTGTCTGGGAGGGGCCATAGCTTCCCTGGCAGGTCCATGCCACCTGTGTCTGGGAGGGGGCTACTAGCTTCCCTGGCAGGTCCATGCCACCTGTGTCTGGGAGGGGGCTGGCAGCTTCCCTGGCAGGCCCATGCCACCTGTGTCTGGGAGGGGGCAACTAGCTTCCCTGGCAGGTCCATGCCACCTGTGTCTGGGAGGGGGCTGACAGCTTCCCTGGCAGGTCCATGCCACCTGTGTCTGGGAGGGGCCATAGCTTCCCTGGCAGGTCCATGCCACCTGTGTGTGGGAGGGGGCCAATAGCTTCCCTGGCAGGTCCATTCCACCTGTGTCTGGGAGGGGGCTGGCAGCTTCCCTGGCAGGCCCATGCCACCTGTGTCTGGGAGGGGGCTACTAGCTTCCCTGGCAGCTCCATGTCACCTGTGTCTGGGAGGGGACTACCAGCTTCATAGGTAGGTCAATGCTACCCGTGTCTGGGGAGGGGGCTACTAGCTTCCCTGACAGGTCCATGCCACCTGTGTCTAGGAAGGACAGAGATTCAATGGTCGAAAGAGACAAGACTATCGCGACAGAGCCTGAATAGTGTGAATATATTGGGATACTGGATACTAGTGTGATATCGCAGAATTAAATCTTCACCGTGTGAATGGTATAACAATCGGATGTACTGTAACATTTGGGACACATTGTGACATTTGATTGGTGTGTTATATTGGCACTATTGTGACTGTGATATTTAGGGATATAGTGTGACAAATCCTGACATATTGTGTACATAGTGTTTGCAATCGGGGGAATTTGGGATAGTGATCGAGGTGAATCTTGAACATTTTGCGTCTCACGTGGCATGATATCAGGGAAATGCTGTGAATGGTATGATATTTGTGACATACAGTGTTACTTGTGTTTATGTTGTGATATAGGAGACATATTGTGACTCGTTATGACTATTAATTAAAAAACAGTTTGTGCTGAGCTAAGAACCCATGTAGGCCAAACAGCAGGCTTTGTTGAAGTGGACCCCCCTCCCCCCAACTTGGCTAGTCAAGCCTAAACTTTGTAAGTCACTTCTCAGCTCACTATAATTCACTGTTTAGTAAATAGATTTCTTGAAAACTGGTGTGATTTGTGGGCACACATTATGCCCCATGCTGATAAATGTGGCATTAGAAACAGGTTGAGACATGATAACTGTGATGATTTAGTCATTATTGTATTATGGGTGATCATGTGGCACTAAATATGGCCTAGCATGAAATATACAATTATTCCAATAAAGGGTCCTTGGCAGGGGATATAGTTTATTTCTAGTGGATATAATATTCATGTATACATACACCTTAAGGAACAGGTTAACTGTTTAAGTGCCAAAGAGGATTAGGTTAAGGCACACATTACAGAGCAATACTCGGGCCCATTCAATAAACTGTGAGCCCGTGGTACATTCATTAAACAGTGATTTGTGATGTTTGACTACCCATATGCAACATTAAGGCTAAGATAGCAACATTGGAAACACATTTTTATGGTGGCTGTGTTGGAAATTTAGATTTGTTTTGACCTGAGTCTTTAAAAATAGTTATTAACTCACAACAATTTACTGTTTAGTGAAAATAACTTTCAGCCAAATCTGGTGTAGTGTCTTAATTTATAGTTAATAGTTTGCCACACTATAACAAGCCTATGGTGTTTAATTGCCCAATTTATTTTTATAGCTGAATAGTGTCAATTGTTCTCCTTACTTAAATGATTGTCATGATCAGACTAGTGAATGTTACTTTCCCTGCATTAATGGATGTGAGAATCTTTGTCCCAGAATGGAAAGAGTTAATAGTGTACTACCACCCAATGAGCAGGGCCGCAAAATCCCCTGTACTTGATGTTTCTTTGCTTTGTCTTGCTAGACAATATCACTGACCAGTCATTCAGTGGAGTAGCTAGATACCTAACACTTCCCTAGCAATTGAGAGTTCCAGGTCCCACCTATACACAATGAGATGCCTAGCTTGGTCTGTCAGTCCACTTCTGTCCAGTGCTGCCATAGGGTCTTTGACTTCAGTTACCAGACAATTACCAGACAGGCACTATTTGACCCCTAATTCTACAGCTCCTGGCTGTCTACCTGCTTGTTTTTTATGTCACCCCCTTCCTCCTCCCCTTTTCTTCTTCTCCTGGTTTCTTTCTCAGCTGCTTCAGAAATAACCGGTGGATCCAGTTTTCTTTCTTGTTAATCTCATTGCAGGAGCGATGACCTCCCTCTCCCTCTCTCTTTCCTGAAAGTACGTGACATTCCAAACTTTCCCCAGCAGTCTTCCCCTGTCTCTGTTCCCTGTTACACACAGCCCGGGTCTCCCTGAGCCACTGTTGGCAAACCTATCCAAGATTGCTCATACCAGGATTGACCTTCGTATTTACCCTCCACCTATTCCAGGATTACCCTTTCCATATACCCTCCTCTCATCCCACGATTACCTTCTCCATTTACCTTCCCCTTTCCATTTACACTCTACTCATCCCAGGGTTACCCTGACCAATTACCTTCCAGTCCCAAGATAACTCTTTCCATTTTCCATCCATTCATCACAGGATTACCTTTTCAATTTACCCTCCACTCGTCCCTGGATTACCCTGACTTCGTTCACACCTCTCCAGCCAGCAGATATCAATGGGACACCTGCTCACCTGAGGTAGTGGCATCTACAACCTGCGCATTTCTCTCTAATATTTACACATACTGACACACAGACACACACACACACACACACACGGTGATTAGAAACATATACATACTGAGCATTGAAACATCATACAATAATTGTCTACAGTAACACGCATCATATATATATATATATATATATACATATATATATATATATATATATATATATATATGTACACATACATACATGATACTTTTTATAATCTCTTAAATTTAATGTTTTGATCCCTGTAGGTTATCTATCTATCTATCTATCTATCCATCCATCCTCATATATATCTTTATGTATGCATAGTGGTTTAACATACATTTGATGTTTTGTTCACTTATTATTTTACTATCATTGTTTTGTTTAATGATGATGATGGGTTAATTTACTTATTATGCATTCTGAGACCTGTTGGCACCTGTTACAAACTCTAACTGTCTCTTTTATGGTATGGGTTTTTGGATATTGGATATGCAGTACTGAGAAATAAGTAGATACTTCTCTGCTACATGGTATATCTATTTTTGATCTTTGGGGACAGTTGGATTACTCACACCAGTCTGTCACTCCTGCCTTGTCTTACCCCTTTCTTTATCAGTTACACGTCTTTAATTGGTATTCTTGGTCCCTGATTTTATCAGCCAAGTTTCGTAGGCATCGTTTTGAGACATTTTGTGATAAGACAAACTGTTAAGAAAAAAAAAAAAAGAAAAAACATGTTGAACGTACAAATATGCCTAAGAGTTAAAGTTTCAATACTGATTGGGATATAGCTGATCTGGTGCATATTGAAACTGACGTGTTAACTGCTGCCTGTGAAGGCAATTTGATCTGTCTGAAAAGAAAAACGAGAACAGAAGAGAAATAACATTCTTATTTAATATATTCAGCAGTTTGAACTATATACTTTTTTTTTTAATACTTTTTTGGGAAGTGATTTGGAGAGAAGACTTGAAGCAGCCTACTTTCCAGTAAGTAATGTAGAAATTCCAGGAGCAAGAGCTAAATATACTTGGTGGATCAATACAGAAATGGCTGGTTGTGAATAATTTAATTGGCAGTGCAGGAACAGTTTGGAAGCTAAAAGCAAAACGAGGAAGAGGTGGCAAAAAAGGAGAACATTTATCTGCTTTGTACTTTGTGATGTATATTTTTTCACATTGTTTTTATAATATGTGCACTTTTACTTCTTGATGGGAGCGTGACATTTAATTCAGCTGGTTTATTTGACATGGGCAATCCCATATCTCTTAATTACAGCACTATTGTATTTACACAAAGTTCTCTGTAGTTAAGAGTTGATGACTATGTAGGTCCTTATACACATAATACGGCTCCCTTTAAGAGAATGTTATAATTTTACTTGACTCTTTTATATATGTGTGTATGTTTAAAGATACATTGTTAGATATAGATTGTGACTTCTCTGAGATATGCCTGCTAAAAGGTAAAGATAGCTACTGATCCTAGAGCTTTACTGCTAGTACCTAAATTCCTGAGATAGTTCATATAAATCTTTATCCATAAATCTATCCCCTATAGGTTTGGCAATAGTGGGTTTATTCACTAAGTAGATGGGGTGAGCTGACAACTGAAATGGAAAATGTCAGGCTAAATTACCTGAGTTTGAAAACAAATATCCCTTTTGGATAATTTGTAGATTTATACCAAAGTGTCTAATTTTGGCCCGAAATTTTGTTGTCAATTCACACAAAATGCTCTTAAGTGAACATAAATAACATCTCGGACTTAAAAAAAAAAAAAATACAAACCTCGAAAAAAGTAAATGCCATGTTGGTAGTGTCATTAACTTGCTTAGTTCTGTATACATGAAAGGTGAAACATACATAAAAATATAAGTTTTGAAAACATTTATTAAATCTATTATCTACATACCATAACATACAGGTGCACAGGTGCATAGCTCAATAGGATGAAGAGGCACACCTCTATGTAATATTTTCTATAAAATTGATTGTTTTACCTTAGCTTTACCTCTCTTGAGGAAAATGTTTAAGTTGTTGTTTTCAATCATGTGAAACTACCTTGACATCAAAAGTGATACTGTATTGATAACCTGATCACTCACTATGCTCTGTCCACCTGTGTAATCTAATGCCCAATAGTTTACAGATCGCCTGGGAAGCAATCACAGGCAGGCCATGTAACAATTTAAGTATAAAAGCTATACTATAAAATGAATGTAGCACCCCGTATTCCACACATTATTTAATCTGCTTTATAATTTGTCAAGTGCTTTAAACAATGGGAGGATTAGGAATGTATTAAAATCAATTTTGAAGCAGAGTTATAAAAGTGGAGCAATCACCAAAGAAACCAATGGAATGTTCATGCTAGTTATTCCACATCTATAACTTTGCCCCAAAATGAGTTGTGTTAATAACCCTAATTGTATGATCTCTGTGGGTCAGTTTTCCAAATAGAAGAAATAGGAAACCTTTGGCACTTTTGATTAATACCATATTGTTCATTCTTTGTGACAAGTATCATATTACTTGCCCAGCCTGCGTCCACGCAATAAAGTCCATCACTCTCAGCCAGGACAAAACCCATGCTGCTTGACTAGTGCAACAACTGCTGCAGAGCTGTAGTGCAACCAATCTGCATTTGAATTTAGTATTTTTTGTCTTTCAAAACCAGGGGGAAAAAAGCAAATATTCAATTTCATAAACAAAAATTTCTTCTAATCTGTTTTCAGTATTTCTGTCTCATTTTTCATTCAGACTTTATTTTAAATTGGTTCTGAATTACCTGACGTAAGATATCAGCTCACAAAAAAAACAACAGAAAAACAGTTTGCTGTGATAAGCGGATGGAAAAAAAATATAATTTTAAATTGATTCTTTTTTTAGGACACTCGAGCCTTGAGGTTTTGTCAAGAGAGTTCATCTGCCGCTGAATTTTATCTGTAAACCTAAAGTTAAGGAGATGATGTCATAACCCTTTTGAATATAGTGCAGCCTATAGTATAGTGTGTGTGGTGTGGCAATTTTTTTTTAGAGGGGTTAAGTCACATTAAAACAGGAAGACAAGCTTATGACAAGCAGTCGGCTGTTGGTGGGATTAGGTATATATGTTATGTGTGTGTATGTTTGCTACTTTACTTTAGATATTTACAGTAAATGTTATTTATATTTTGGTTTAAACATGGCCTTTATCCCTTTTTTGCTGTGATTCTTATAATGTAAGCCTTTAGTGTTTTACTTTATATATTGTAAGTGTTTAAAACCATCTTAATTTTATTTTCTGGGATTCGCCAAAAGAGATGTAACTTTCCAAACAGTCAATTTTTAACACCCTCTACATCGCTGGTATATTTATTTTCCCCGAGAAAAGTTTTTTGAAGTCAAATTTACTTTCAGAATGATAAAAACCTTATTGCAACTTTCTGTTTTTTTTTAAAATTTTTTTTAGATATTTATATTGAAATAAAGTACAGTTTTAATACCTAGTACTCTTTAATTTCAGTTTCTGCCTTAATATCATACGGTATTCATTTGATGGAGATGAGCAAAAGCAGTACTTATGAGAGGGAGCGTCAGTTTTCAAAAAGCTTTATTCAGACAGACACCCCTGGAGCCCTTCACCATAAAAAAATAAAAGGATGGATCTCTGCAGGCGGCCCAGAAATATGTACAGAACAGACCAAGCAACAAAAAAATGTAAATAGTGTGATACTGATTTACACATTTTTTTTTACCTCATGGGGATTGATGTCAATTTTTGAAGATGTCCTATTTTTGTATTTCAGCACTGCAATTTGACTATGGAAACGGAGAGGCCTGATGGATATGTAACTAGTAAGTGTTCATTTATTTCTTTGTTTAATATATTTTCACCTGTGCCTCCCATCCTGCCCCACCCACCCCTTTTTTTAATTATTATTATTATTGCACGACAGAGGTTTGGCGCCAGCTTGCGAAAAAAGTTAAATAGTTTAAATGATCTAACACTAAAGTGTCCTATGTAACTAGCAGAGTTAGTTAGGTAAATTGCAAGGTCAATATTCATTTAAAAAAAAATTGTGCAATTTTGCAAGGCATTTTGATGCATCTAACATATCTTCACTGCAATCTTAACAATATCTATGCCACCATTCCTTTCTATGAATGCTACTTTAAGCTAGTGCAGAGTGTAAGCTTTTATGATCACAGTTCATGTTTTCTTAATTTTCTGTCTTATTTGTTGTTTTGCTTTGGGCATGTGTTGATAAGTCGCAAACAAAGTAATAAAACGTTATATAACCGAGATTAGGTAGATTTCCATTTTGTATTGCCAAACTATGCTCAGTGAAAAACATACACAAAATAAGTTCTTTTTGGCCAATGTATGGAAAACATAAGTGGTGTGCATGTTGCCTGCTAACGATAATGTGCTCTATGTATTTTAAACTGTACAGACTTTACTAGTGTAGTTTATCACTGCATTTGTTGAGTGTGTTTAACTCATGTACAGATAAACATAATGCACCGGATTCATTACCTGTGGATTTTCTCTATATATATCCTGAATTATTTTGCTACTTTTGCAGTTTATAAATTGATTATGATTTCTCATAATTAAAAAAAAAAAAAAAAAAATGACATCTCCATATTGCGTGTGTGTGTTTTAGAGGTCATATCAGCATTATAAGAGTTTAAGTGATTTTGGCAATTTAAAAGAAATGTATTAATTTTTGAGCTGTAAGTCCAATTTAGGCATCTACCCATATGTTGAGTTCTGACCTGTTCTCTGCCATCTTTAGCTTCCTACTGTCCTGTTTTGTCGGTCTCCCGCCTCTTTATACTTAACACTGGTGAATATTTTGCAGGTGATTCACACCTCAGAATTCACCTGTGGGGATTCTCAGTTGCTCTACTTTGCATTTGACAACATACATATATGACTTTGAATGCTATAATCTTGTTTTTCTGCCTATTGTTTGACTAACTGAGCTTAGCGTTTCCTGGTTGTTCAAGCCATTTCATGAATAAGACTAATTTCTAACTTAGGCAACCACCCCAACAACACATATACATGTGTAGAATATCTTTTTTAAAAGCGTCCATTGTTTAATGAACCAACAATTTTATATTTCATGCTTATTCAGCACGGTTGACCATACATTATGTCCAACTCAATCCATTATCCCGATCACTGCACACCTTAATATTAATGCATTCACTAGATGCCTGATTAGTGGTCTATCGCTATTGCTTTTGTGGGTTGTTTAATATTTAAATGGACACTCTAGGTATACCATGAGGTTCTTATTTTGTTGATCTATTAGGTTAGTGTTTAAGTCCTTTTATCAGAATCTCTAGTGCCAACATAGGTGACCAAACTATTGATCTATTTTGCTGTTGAAAAAATGAATTCCATGTTATGCTTGCATTATCTGCGAGTCTGTATATTCTTATACAGACACAGAATTGTGGATATACAGAAGTACATCAAGAAGGCTTTCATAAATTACGTCTACAGGGTTACTTATTAATCCAGGAATTGACTATAGAATTGGATGTTTTAGGCCAAAATAAAGCTGTCATCCCAATAGCTATTTCGGCCTAAATATTGCTACACTCTGTCAGTTTAGTGTGTAACGCTACTTAATATTACGTGAACTTAACTAGCAAACAAATATGTTATTAAAAAAAGAAAAAGAAAGAATAGCACCATTTACTGAATTAGTCCATCTTCCCATAACCTTAGATGTCTACCAAATGAGTTACCCCAATACTGCCTTTCCATTTATCGAAGTACAGTTCATTGTTAAAACTAATTTCAGTGTTTACTAGTTACCTTCCATGAGGGCAACTAGCATTAAGAGGTAAGAAGTTGCCCTCTTTGACATAGTTCTCTTTCTTTGCTGTTTTGCATGGCTGCCAATTTATCAAAGTAAAGGCTGATTTTGAAATAATTAGTTCCTATCAATATTCTTTATTAAAAAAAATAATAATATAGAAACTTACTATATCTAGCTATTTGTTAGATGATTAAAACGTTAGATTAACAGATGCATTTCCAATATTACCTAAGAAAAATTATATACTTTTAGTAAATATATGTTTAGCAAAAATGTTTGTCTTTATCTTTTTTTTCTCTTTGGATCCTTGACAAATATGTGTTTTTTGGTCTTTAAAAGTCTCCTTTAGATAATAACTCTTACCAGAGAGGAGTCATAAAACTCCTAAGGAGAGGAATGCCCTTCTAGCTGGGAATTGCATCCACAGGAAAGAACATGTTAAGACTATGGGAGAAAACATTTTCTAAAAAGGAGAGGGATCTTATTGCAGATATGATATTCCTTTTTTTGGGGAGGGTTGCGGGCTGCCACGCCAGCTCTTTGATGTGTCACTTTTCTGGGGAAACATTTAATGAAATCTTTTCACGCACCTTACTAAAGATTTGATCATATCCATAAAGATTGTATTCCATAAATACAGATGGATTGACTTAGGAATGTATTTACTAAATAGTAAGTTGAGATAAATTGACAATGAATTAAAAATATTTTCATATAGGCTATATTGGCCTAGTATTTGCATTGCTCAGTCAGGCTGGAGAGATTTTGCTCTACAGTCGGTTGTAAACTCACTGTGTAATGAATTGATTCCACAATCTTTAACTGAACCAATTTATCACTTTAACCCCTTAAGGACACATGACATGTGTGACATGTCATGATTCCCTTTTATTCCAGAAGTTTGGTCCTTAAGGGGTTAAAGGCTGACATTGGCACTATTAATTCCTTTCAACATTTTTACATTTTTGGATTAATATAAAAGACGCTCTTCTAATAAAGAAGAGAAAAAGTGCTACATATAATTCAGGGAGCAGACATCTAAAAACAAACAAACAAAAATATATATCTCATAAACAGATGGTGCATGCAATTATGGAAGAACAGAATGAATGCGGGTTTTCAAGGAATATACTATATATATATATATATATATATATATATATATATATATATCAATTCTATAATAGCTGGCATTCAGTATAATATTAAAATGGTTTGATTGAAATTCTAAGAGTAATCATTAGAAAAAGCTAACTAGGGACTGTCTCTGAAAATCCAGGTCAGCTGGCACGTATGTATTTGATTAGGAAAGCATGAAATAAATGTCATAAACATCATTATGTTATCGCAGCACATATTAACTTGGCGTTGAATGCTTTATCTAATATGAGTCTTCAGGACACTCCAGCAGGCGTGGGGTTAAATGAGCAATATTTTAAAACATTTTCGAACGTCCCCGTGGCTTTTCCTTATGCATTGACTTTCAAAGCTCCGGGAGGCACAAATCTGGCCTCTTCAGTTCTGCATTCCAGCCGTTTGCTAGGCTCTTGCCCACAGGCAGAAGAAAACTAATCTTTTTTTTTTTTTCTTTTTTTTTTTCTTTAAAAAAAAATAAAAAATACAGGTGATAATGAGATTGTGCCCGAGAGGGAACACTCCAACATGGCCATAGACCTGACCTCCTGCACCCCTAACGGGCAGCATTCGTCCCCTACGCACATGGCAAGCAGTAAGTCGCCTTCATTCCTTTTCCATTTACATTGTTACAGCATCTCTTATTTCTCTCATATACCCAGTCACTGACTATCTGCCAGACTCAGGCAGGTCAGGAATTATTCAGTGACAAGACTTTTTCACTTTGTTTTACTTTTCACCATTTTTAAACTTTGCTTCTTGGAATTGCAAATGTCCACGCTCCTTCTTTTTATCGGAGTCAATTATTGTGGACACATGGAGTAAACTGTATTTTTTTTTTGTATAGTGTCTTGAATATAAAATATGTCTCACGCAAAGCTACATTCTCCTAAAATGCCAATATAACTAATTGAGCCTTGTGTTTATCTGCAGCGACTGTTTGTGTTTTGTTTTGTGTGTTTGTTGATTTAAAATTTTTTTTTTATTGCTTGTGTTTATTTATATAGATCGTGTTGATTAAACACGGTAAACATTGTTATGCATGCATTTGAATTATCCTCCAACAAGTTGTCAATTTAAGAGTATCAGCATATAATTATAATATTACTGACAGTTGTTTATGAATTTAAATAATCGTCAGAAATGTTGGTTTTTTACACTGTCATAAACTTTGTTACTATGACCCTGAAAATGTTTAACATTTATAGAAACTGTGGGATGAGACTTGTGTTAGACTGGAGCTAGAGCAGTCTATGTGGTTTATTATAGTGGATTTTTCTCTTGGGATGAAGTTTCAGCTGGGGTGTCATCTGCAGAATCACACTGTCAACACAACTTGTTCATCTTCTAACACATGTCATGTGACTAGTTTATATTAAATTAACAATTCTGGGACATTTAGGGCCATACAAAATACCAACAGTCTCCATGTAGAATAATAATAGTTACTGAGACTGTAATTCCTAAACCCATTCTCGCGTACTTGCAATGGTTCAGGACATAGGCATTTTATAAATTCTATTCCACAGCGCATATTGATGAACCCTATGCTGTCCACCACTGGTATCATCTATGCCAAATGTTTCCAATAAGTCATGCCTTGGCTAGCGACAGGCAAATTGAAAGTTATGAAAGATGTAGTTAATTAAGATTAGGTAAGGCCATACTTCCTACAAAGACTTGATCTCTGTAGTGAATGCAGAGTGTGTGTTTGTGTAGTAGATGCAATGCATGTGTATGTGTAGTGAATGCAGAGTGTGTGTTTGTGTAGTTGATGCAGTGTGTGATTGTGTATTGAATACAGATTGTGTTTGTGTAGGGGATGTAATGTGTGTTTGTGTAGTGGTGTTGGATAGATGCGGGGGGGGGTGAGGGTAGTTGTTTAAAATGTATTAAATAGTTTATTCTCCCCCTCCTTGCCTTTTACCTGTGGCTAAGGAGAGAGGGCACTAGTTTCCTTGGTGGTCCAGTGGCACAGCAGCTTTTAGAGTGAAGAGGGGCCCAGGAGTCATATCATCCTGCGGCAATGCTCTGACAGCCGCGGATCGCAAGTGCACACTGTCAGTTAGGGAGCTTGGTGTCTCCTGGGCCCTCTCTTCATTATACTACTACGCGCAGGGTCTGCGTGTGTATGTGTATGTGTGTGTGTATGTATATATATATATATATATATATATATATATATGTATATGTGTGTAGACCAGGCCTCATACAGCTGTACTGGTTGTTTGTTTTAGGAATTTTATTGCAGATCGTGTATGAAAGATGTAAAAGTGTGCTATTTTAGATCACTCTGTTGCTGTATTGTTTCCTGCCAACCTTGGTCTGTTATTTGTAGAATGTGAAGATACAAGGTGATTTGTGCCCCATCTTTATATAAACTATACATGTACAAATAAAAAAAATAATGATATGCATCAGAAAGTGTATAAATTTGTATACATAACCCCCATTCTCTGGTGAAAGTATGTTGTTGTTTTTCTAACATTTCATTTAAATTTACCATACTTTGACATCCAATGTCATTATAAAACCATACTGATTTACTTACACCTGCCATATTTTGTAATTTCTAATGCTAGGGTTTACTTCTTGTCATATCAGCCAGAGTCAAAAAGAATATATCATAAGAATATATGAAATAATAATGATTTCGTATTCTGTGTTAAGTATGATTTAAATATTCATTGCTCCATTAGAGTTTGGCCAAGCAATTATTTCCGTGTGACTTAAATACATAGATTGAAAGAGCACTGGATAATTATTTTTACAGCAGCATAGCAGTTCTATTGATGACTACACTTGTCTGGAAAGATTTTATTTTACAGTTTTACATTGTTTCACGTTTTTTCGAATTCTAATAAAGCCCCACAGAGTTTTGACACTGAGGTAAATGTTCCAGGACAAGCAGGAAAAAATGATCCCCAATCTTAAAAACACTCATAAGTGGTCTAATGGTATTGCACTCATAATTCTCAGGCAACTGGCTTAGAGCCAGGAAGTCCAAAAGTTAGATCCCCAGCTGTTGAAAAACCGTGGTAATTCCATGATTCTTTGCCAACCTTAAAGCTAACAAACATGTCTTAAAACTGCCAAAGCATCATTAGAGTTGCAGTTCTATCATACCTTGGGATCTGCCTTCCAAGCATACCAGTAGCACTTAGTCTAGATAAGGACTGAAATTCCTGTTTATGAAGATAAGTATTATTGTTCACTGTTTAGTAAATAACCCCCCTTTTATTTAAACAGGCAGACTTTGTGCCAGGGACAATGTTCGCTGCATATTGTTCAGGCAGGTAGTGATTACTTTATAAATCGTTATTCTATGTAGTAGTGTTGTAGGAGAGCTGTGTTTGCAGAATAAATGTTAGAGACAGACATTTATAAGCTGAAGACAGCAATGGGTACTCTGCTTAAACAAACATGGCCAATTATACATCACTCCCAGGAGAACTGAACACCTCCTCCTCTTTGTTGAAAAAGCGGTGTTAAGTTCTCTTGGGATCTTAGCATTAGATAACAGACTTGGGCAATTCCAACACAGGAAGATGCTGTATGCTGCTGGCATGCTGTTAGCTCTGCACATTAGTCATGTTAATCCTTTATCCTCAAACAGACAGTTTTATGAGATGAGTTCTTCATTTACAAACCTCAGAATAAACTTTTGACTGGTGCTCACATCAGTATCCATGATGTATCAAATATGATAGAACTCTGGATTAAAGCTTTAGCTGTGAGTGGAGATCTCCAATATACTGACAAACTTTTCTGGATGCTTATTCTGTGTATTACTATTCCTAGCAATATAGGTGATCTTTTACAGGAGTATGCTGCATCACTATAAGAGGAAGATAGGTTCTGAAAGTTCACTTGTACTGTAGATATGAATGCACTATTATTGAAAATCACAGGGTTCTTTTTCAATGAAAATCATCAAATTAGAAAGAGAGGACATGACATCTCTTTACCTGTAATCAGATCAGGTAATTGTCAATACTGGGGAAAAATAGATTGATGATTTATTTACTAATTGATGGGATCTGGAATGCTAAATGTTCTATTTTATTGTGTTCCAGCATTTTTGTTTTTCTATAAATTGTGCTAACCAAATGTTGTTGTTGTTGCTGTTATTATTTATGATATGAAAAGCTCCAAAGCATATGTGAATATAATCACATTGTCTTACATTGTCCCAATACTTTTTCACTTTACAGCAGACAATTTATTTTTCCTTACTGGATTTTCTGGTCACTGAGAATGATTTAATTCCAAATATATTGTGATTGGTTGAAAGAGTACAATAGCCAATAGGAATGTAGTATTTAATTTTAATTTGGTCATATCTTTTTTTCTTTTTCTTTCCATGTCTATTCCTGTAGACTTTCAATAAAATACACAGTTTGCTGTGGTAGTAAAATAAATAACAAGTGTATCCTATCATTTTTTTTTGTTTGTTTACTTAATTTTAAATATTATCTTTTAAACCATTTATAGCCAGGTGTTATGTAGAGTTTCGCTTTTCAATGTGCTTATAGAGCTTTAACCAAAAGACTTGCAAAGAAATGACAACTGAACGGCAAAGTTTAGGCCTACATAGTCAACTGCGAAACATTTCCCAGTTCATCTACTTTTCCCATGTAGAATTTGGCCTAAAATATAAAAATGAAACTCCATTCATCCAACTTAATATTTTGTGAATAAGATTCCTGGTGTAAACACTAAAATGAAGAAAATATATATTTTTCTCTCGCAAAACATAAATATTTAAATAGAATTAAAATTAGGCAAAATTTATTGTTTTCGTACCAAATTTATATATTTGAATATATTAATATTTCTTGCTGAAATTCTATCCTAAATTTAGTTGGTCTCTAATGTATAGTGAAAAAGTGGAATATTGCTGATATGATCAGATACCGATTATACGATTTAGCACTAGCTGTGCAGTTCTTCCTAATCAGCTAAAACTATGCTTACTGTGACCTACCATAATTAATACTTGTCTTATATTGTCACCTGGGATACTGGCTCTTAAACCGTTTTTGCTGGGGGTCATGTTGTCCTTTGCACTACTGGAGCCTTCTGTTTTAAAGTTCACCTTTCTAATTATACAATAGAGAGATAGCATCTTCCCTGCTCTCGGCTAGTTTGCTTTTAGTGTGTGTTTATGGTATCCAGGTCCCTTTCGCTTCCCTGTAGACGCCATTCACAGACAAATCCATACACAATAGCAGATTAGACGGGATCGAACCAAGCTATGTAGAAAGGACCCACCTAGCAGGATTGTCTCAATGTCAAACAGTCACAAAAGTAAGTTGAAAAACAAGCTTGGAAGTGATTAAATGGGACAACAGCAAAGATGTGGTCATGCTGCATATTTTTATATGTGCGGCCATAAGCCAAAGACAAATATTGCATGAGAGGAGTTACTTCAAACACTAACTAAGGCAAAGTTTTAACTTTACCTGCATTCTAAATGTTGCCCTTTTCAGTAGAGTTTACTGGTTTTTAGTACATCCCATTAATGTAGAAACTGCATAAAGCTTTCCATCTAAATGGATGCCAGTAATGGTTTAAAACAGTCATGGTTAACTTTGGCAACCCCAGATCTTTATGAACTGCAATTCTCATGATGCTAAGCCAGCTTCTAGCATGGCTGAGCATTGTGCGAAATGTAGTTGTAAAAACCATCTGGAATTCCAAGGTCAATCATCATTGCTTTTAGCAAGCTGCAATATCTCACTCCATACTATATTATCTACTCTCTGCTCCATTATATATTACATTATGTGCATTATATATTTCAAATTGAAGTAATTATGTATGTGTGTAGCAAACATTTTTTAATATGTAGTGTATCTTTTACAATTAAAGTGTTATATAGAAATCAAAAGTGGAAAGTAAAATGGAATTGCAACACATGATAGATGTGATAAAGATGTAAGATTATTGACAAATAATATGTCAGGTTACAGAATATCACAAGGATAAATGAGTCCAAGAAAAGGAAAATCCTTAACCTTGTGTGAAGAGAAAGAAACAATAAGTGGGAAGGTAATGATGGGAGAGAGGATGGGACAAAAAACTAAATTATAGGAGATGATAGTAGAGCTTGAACACAAGAGGTTCAGCTCTTAAAGCAGAAGCAGGACATGCATGTCCCCTGTCTGTCTGGGATTGAAGAAACACTATAGCATTCAAAATACAAATACATCTTCCTAACGCTAGGGCCCCCGTTCCGCAGCGAATAAATGGTTAACCATTAATTTTCTTACCTTAATCCAGTGCCGGGTTCCCTCGGCACTGGTGACCCATGACCTCTCCTCCATCGACGTCAGCTCCTGAGTGGAGCCGAATGTGCATGCGCGACTAGAGGCGCGCACGCGCATTCAAACCTGCCCATAGGAAAGCTTTACTCAATGCTTTGCTATGGGGATCTTTTTCGATGCTGCACTCCGTGAGGACGTCCAGCGTCAAATAAGTGCGATTTACTCAGTGTAAATTATGGAAGCGGCCTCTAGTGGCTGTCAGGCAAACAGCCATTAGATGCTGGGTTAAACCCTGCAGTGTAAACATAGCAGTTTTTCGGAAACTGCTATGTTTTCAGCTGCAAGGTTAAAACTAGGGAGACCTGGCACCCAGACCACTTAATTTAACTGAAGTGGTCTAGGTGACTATAGTGGTCCTTTAATGGGTGTTGTAATCCCGGAAGGAAGCTGCTATATATTAATATAAATATTTAAGAAAGTGCAGAGATGTGAAGACAATAATGACCTTTGGATTATTCTGTATGTTCATATGTTAAGAATAATTATTATAAAATCTAAACACATAAATCAAAATTAAATCAAATTACATACTCTGTAGTGTTCCATGCAGTTATTTTTAATTCTTAAACTGAAATAAGGTACAGAGTATCACAACTATTTTGTTCGATATAAAAAGTACATTCTGGGTCATCATGAAACTTTAACTCGTATGACTCTCATTCATCGATAAGTTTAGCCATGATCTAAAACACTATATAGTGCTTGGCTTTCACCTCTTTCTGTCAAGTAATCCAGAAACACATTGCTGTGTTTGACTGTTTACGTAAAGAGTGAAAAGATTTACAGAGGTAATTCATTAACTGTCACCCATCTTAGTAGAAGAAGCCGTTAAAGGGACACTCTAAGCACCAAAACCACTTTATCTCAAAGTAATGGATTTGGTACATAGGCATTGTCCCTTTTTTTCTGACAATGTAAGACATATCCTTTTGTGATAAACAGTGACATTTGCAAGAGAACATGCCTTTAGTGGCTGTCAGAGAGAAAGCTTTTAGAAGCACTTTCTTAAGACATTAAAAAATCGAAGGTCTTCACGTTCTATCATCCACAGGAAACATAAACAGACACCACTAATAGTTCACACAGAGAAGCACTGGATTCAGTGCATAGGATTGACAAAGTGTGTGACACATTCACTTTGTGTATCTAATGTTTTGGATTGGACATTTAATGTGTTATCATGGCTTCACACCTTTGCCCAAAGAGCATAAGTGTCTGTAACGCAATTTAACACAAAGTTCTGTGTAACTTGTTACCTGCTCAGATTCACCTGGGAGATTAATTCAGGTTCAACAAGGTTAAACATCTGAGTCCAGTCTCCACTCAAGGGGTTAACATGGCACTTAAATTCCAAAGCAGAAGTCTAGTGTAGTTATTTAAAGTGACACAAGTTGTAATAATGTTTGGATATTTCTCATGTCAAGTTTGTTAGATCAGTATTGTCTATTTTTTTTTGAAAGATAGTATTTTACCCAAAGGATAGATTTCAGATGTGACTGGTGCCACCAAAAGGGTTTTTAATTTTTTTTTACCACTCTGTGCTGTTAGACCATGGAGGCGAAAGAGTGATTTGGCAGGATGCAGTCTCTAAAGTGTAGAAGTAGTTTTGCCTCCTCCTTACAGTTACAGAAACTGCTATTGTGAGTCAATATGTTTTAAAGCTTTATTACGTCTGGGTTCCATAGAGTATTGCCCGCCTGTAGTAGACTGGAAATTATCGACATGTGGAAGGTGAGAAATTGTGATATTTTACTTTCAAAAGCCTTTTTGAAATGGGGAGTTGCGATTGTGCTTACTTTGATAAACCGGAGTTTTTAAAAATATCAACAGGCTTATTTACTAAAGTGAGAATTGTCTGGAATTCAAAGAGAATTAAAAGTAATTTAACTGAGCTGAAAGCATATCTGAATTAGAGATTTCCAATTCGGCTAATTTGGTCTAAAATGTGAAATTAAATTTTAAATCAATTGAATTACCAACAATTCTGACTTTAGTAAATATCTCTACCAAAAATAAAGTAACAAAAAAGTTGCCTAAACATAATTATGGTGGAACTGTAATAGTTAGCTTGGGTACTCCAGCCATAATACATGTTTGGAAATCTCCATTATTTCTTATAATACACAAAATATGTAACAATCCATTTTTCAAAAGAATATTTGTATAATAATAAATACAAGTGGGAAGAGAAAAAACAAAAAATAAAATGAACTTTTAATTTTCAACCATGGAACTAAATTTAGATTAGCCCACTAAAGTAGGAGGCATTAGATAGAAGAAAAAGTATGTCATATGTCAGCCTTATTGTACAAAAATGGAGAGATAAGCCAAGAATCCCAGGGTATGTAGAAATTGTCAGGAATATAATAAAGTGGGTGTGCAATTCTATCCAGAGCAACAGTACCGAGTTATTTAAGTGGAACATTTGTTGTCATCGAACTGTGGTGTGTATTCCATTGGTATCTTTGCTTTGTAAGGATATAGGGAAATATTCATCTGTTTCTGTTATAGTTGTGAGCTTTTTAGCAGCTGGAATGATGAAGGCCAAAGGCCAGAAAATGGATAGGCTGGCCAAGGGCATTAATACAAAGATGTCACATCTGGGACCAAAAGGACTGGGCACACCATAAAGTATGCACACAGAAGACCTGTCCCAACGCCCTTTTAGCATTAATCATCAGAGGCTTTGTCCATCGTTTGTTAACAGACAGGTGTCAGGTAGCATTGTAGCCTAGTCTATAATGCCTTAAACTGAATTCTGAGAGAAATCCTTGAAAATGGTCTTCCATTCAGTTTATTCACATACAGGTCCTCCTTCCGTGTCATATATTGTAATTTGGAAAGTATGCTAGAAAATAAGAATATGCAATAAAATGTGTGAAGTCGGACCTTTTTAACCACTGTAAATAGGAGCACTCATATTTTATATAGTAAATACATGGGCAATATTTTTGAAATATTGTTGCACTTACAATATATATGCACACGTCGCTCTATATGTTTTAGTACTTGTGTTATACTCTTTTCAAAGAATCCGTAATCATGTTTAAAGCCATCTCTGTCTTTAATCCTTTTTTATTATCTATAATAATGTTCTGTATTTTTTCTGAGTGTTCTCAGTAGATTTAGCTATTTTTAGAAGATATTTTTTGCTCATTAAGTCCTCTGTTCTGTATAGTGCTGCAGAGCTCAAGGCACACTAAATGGTGTGTTTATGGAAATTATCAAACGGATTGGCGTTTACAAAGTTACACTATTGATGTCAGTAGTTTCTTTACCCAACCAAGTACTTCCATGGTCCTTTTTTTATTTAATGAGTTTTATTGGCATGCTTTTCAAATACCATTGAAGGACAGGGATATTTTCACATGAATAGAACAGGCAGGAATACATAAATCAGACAAAACATATATGTCATCAAGACCAGCTTGTGGAGGTCAGTAACGATATATCACATAAAAACCAAAAATGTTGTTATACTTTATTTTTTATTTTTTAAAGGGGAATTGCCATGCTTATGTTTGTGATTTGGTGAATGTATGTTTCATACCTAGTACATGCCATTGAAGTATTACCCTGGGTGAGGTGTACATCAGAGTTGAGTATGAATCACCCTTACTTACCACTGCAATTTCAGCCAATTGACATTGCTATGTTGATGCTTTTTTAATTGTGGGGGGCTAGGGGTGTCAGAAGGTAGATCATGTTAAGCCATGTGTAGTCAGGGACTAAACTCATAGGTTTGTTCACCGAAGTGAGAATTCAAAGCGAATTTTAAATTTAAGGCCAAAATAGCATAGATGGAAACATAGATTAACTTTTATTATTTCAGCTAATTTGGCCTTAAATATTTAAGTCACTGTGAATTCTTACGTTAGTAAATAACCCTGTCGGTCCATCATGGAACATTCTAATTTAGCATTGGATGACACACTCTGCTGTAGGGCTGTACATTTATTGCAAGTCCATATAAATTCAAAACTGAACTTTTTTTCCCAGTAAAAGCAACTTTTAGCTGTCTGATAGTATGTGCCTTTATCTCTAAAGAAAAAGCTATTCACTAAATTGATTTTCCATGCAAACTTCTATTTAAGTTAAAGTTAAAAGCTAACGTTAAAATGCCTTCTCTTTAAAGCTAGTCTTCTAACATTTTCTGTTGTAAAATGGGGGAGTGGGTCGCCATACATCTCAGGACAATTTGAGATTTTTAGGATTTCTTTTTCGTTTCTGCTGTTGTGGTAAAAATGTTGCACGCCAGTTTTCCAACTATCACTGTTTAGTGAATAGACCCCTTTGTTTCATTTTGTCAACACGGTTATTGTAATATAAAACTGCCACTCTGACATCTCAATTTTAAAACCTGCATTTCTGGATTTTATTGTCTGCTACCTGGATTTTAAGGTTACTTATTTTTAAACAGAAATCTATCAATAATTCATTAGACCACTAAGTGCTGTCGAACTACAACAGCTCGGGGTCTGCCTTTTGGATACCCCTGCAATAAGTGGTCCAGTTAACTTGTTTTATCTAATTGTGTCTAAGGTAGGATAGCCTTAAAATTCAGGGGGAAAAACTGATTTCACATCAAGAGGATTAGAACAAAATAATCTCTAATTGTACTTTATTCCCCGTGCAAAGGCTAGTGAACTTTGACTTGACTTTGTGTCCAGAAAGAAATCAGTTAACTGCTTTTTGACCTAGAGGGATATGGCTTTGTTCAGCTCCCCAGCACTCAAGGGGTTAATGAAATCAGGTGTAGCTCAACCTGCTCCATGTTGCCCTGAGCACATTGAAACAACGTCCCTATCATATATCTGGCTTCATCTCTCCACGACCTTATGGATAGTTTCCAGGTTTTCGAATTTACTTTGGGTGGGGTTTAAGGGAGTGTGGAATAGTGAAGTGGCCAAAGGGTGAAACCAAACCTCTGAATGTTCGACACACTCTTTGGGAACCATACTTTCGCTATATCTTCAAAAGTACTCATGATATATAAGTTGAAGATACATTCCAAAGATTTGTATTCGTAAAGTACCAAGCACCCAGCCATGATGGTAATCTTGGGGTGCCAAGATTAGTCATCATTGCTTTAGGTTTGAACTTGCGCCTGTCATGTACTCTGCACTATTCCTCACATTTAGCACAACGTTGTATAAAGTGAAATATACTTCTGTAGATATTGTATGTACCCTCTTTGAACAGTCATTGTCTAGCTGAAGCTTGATAAACTGTGAACAGGTTATTATAGATCAAAATATAAAACTCTAGAACATCCACAGGCCCCCAACTTGATTTGTGGGGCTTGTCCTGCTGTCCTGATTTTGCTTCCTGGTGTCCCACATCCAGGGACACTAGGGAACTGTCCACAGACAGGACATCACAAGTGCATTATTAGACTCGCTCATGTTTCAGCAGTGCTTTCTGCAAGGACCTCTAGGTTGGGGTTGTCCAGGTAGGCCCCTTTCAGTAGACAAGCTCACTCCTTGTATGGGTGGACCTGCCCATAATGGGCATTGGCAGTGGCATGATTACATCACTGGTGATGCTCCTCTCCGGGCTTGCCTACCCATCCCGATCTCATGCCTCCCAAAGTTAGGTATGCATTCATTCAAAAATGCCTTAATAATCTTAACATCTGTCTTTCTTAAGTAATCATTTTGTTAAATATAGCTTCAGAAACTTACTTATACGGTGTGCAGCCCTTAGTGATGTCCATTTTAACCAGGCAGTCAACTTTCTTGGCTATTCCTTGTGCTAAATTCAAAGAGAAAAGCGCTGCATAACCTCCCAACAGGCCTACATCAGCCTTGTACCTTTAAAAGAACACCTAAAGCACTTTAACCCCTTAAGGACACATGACGGAAATATTCCGTCATGATTCCCTTTTATTTCTGAAGTTGTGTCCTAAAGGGGTTAACTTTGAGTGTTTTTTCCTCTCATTTTCAAAAGGTGCAGATTTCAATAGCTATTAGCCTTGATGCACCCCCCTGACTGTAAGTCCAAGAAAGGATATTATTACTTACTGGTAGTTTAGCTCAGTGGAGCTGAACTCAAGAGGCAGGCAATTAGCCAGTGCAATTAGACAACCACAGAAAGTCTGATATGGGGAAGAAGGGAAGATCTTGTAAAGGTTGCAGACAAGTGAGTTGCAGCTTTTGCAGGCTGTTAGACCCTCAATGAAAAAAAAGCTTGGTTTTATTGGGGGTATAGCTACTAAATGAGACTTTTGTATTTAAAAAAAAAAATGTTTTATTTGTGCAGACTGCAGAGGAGTGTTCCTTTAAACCAGTGCAGGACTGGACATGACCTCTTTGTGTCAGATTATTTTTAATATTCTATGGAATGCAAAGGAATAGAATACAACACTATATATATATATATATATATATATATATATATATATATATATATATATATATATATATATACATATATATGTCCCTAAGTATGAATCTATCTATCTATCTATCTATCATTTGTTTGAATGGATTGGTGTATACCTTTGTTTATCGTGTGTGTGTGTGTGTGTGTGTGTGTGTGTGTGTGTAAATATCTATATATAAATAAATAAAAGATGGAGAGGTGGACTCACAGGTCTTCTTCCAAATGTGAAGTTTATTCAGTTATTTCAAAGTTGTCCCAATGTTTCGACCCCTAAGGGTCTTTCTCAAGGTCCTTGCGAAAGACCCTTAGGGGTCGAAACGTTGGGACAACTTTAAATAACAGAATAGACTTCACATTTGGAAAAAGACCGGTTAGTGCACCTCTCCATCTTTTATTTATATATATAACGGTGTGAGAGAAAGGGTGTGTATAAATCTTTGTAGCTTTATATATTTCTAAAACCAAATGAACACTGTAGATGTTATAACAGAATGGAGTGGCTTCAATAAGCCTGCGCAAAACGTCTAGGTAGACCACCTTGATGTAAAGCATACATAAGAATCTTATATCTACCAGTAATAAAATGTTTCCAAGTCAGCCTTTAAATTTCCATTGATTTAAAGAGCCTAGCTCTGTATATTGTGGGATAAGCAATACGATTACATGTTTAGAAGGGTTTGGGATAAGCATCCACATTTTCTCTGTCATATAAGTCATCACAGTGAGTGATTTATTGGAATCATATATCCAGTGGATTGTGCAAGCACGCTCAATCCAGCTTTATAATGTTTCATTTTACTGGAGCTATTAACCCCTTAGCATCATAAGTATTGATCAGACTTGTGATTCACCTAATGGGGTTAACTTTACCAACATGCTGACTGCCTGATCATATTGCTTTTGTGTTTGCAGCCGCAGGAGATCAATGAGTTAACTCCCAGAACTTGTGTTTGTGTTTCAGTTGAGATCACACTACCCATCCCATCCACCCCATTCCTTAACAAACCTTTCGCCAGTCCCCTCCGCACCTTCCCAGCTCCTCCAGGTTATTCTGGCCCCTGGCCAAAACCTGTCATATAAAAGTTTTTTTTTCTTTTTCACAGAAATTCCCTCCCACCTGTATTTTATTCCAACAGAACAGGTTTCTGGTCTTTCCACATATTCTCTCAAACAATTCCAAGGTCATATCCGGGTGGATTGGATTGTACCTGGGTGTTTTGTTTTTCGAAATGCCTTTTTCTTATCAGAGCCAAACCTATGAAAAGTCACAGTACAAAGTACAGTGAGATCCACGGGTCTTAGGAGGGAGGTCTGGACTATGAATTGTGGACCATCTTGCTACGTACTGACAGACTAGGTGCTAGACAAGCATATTTAGGATCTAAAATTATTTACTTATTTTGGAAAATATAACTTTAATTGTAGTAGTGTTCACTAAGTAGTGATATTAATGCAAAAACAAAAAAAAATATTTTTAAACTGATAACGTGTGCATAACAGGTATTGATATGAGATGAATGCATCATCAAAAACGTATATTTAAGTTACTTGTAATCCAGCGTCAGAACAATTTTCAGATATCTGCCCCTCCACGCTTGATGAAATCACCCTTACTGGCCATTGCTGTCTAATCCTAGGCTTTTTGTAAAGAAGCATAAAGATCTATGGTGCATGCACAACAATTGCCATGCTTCTCATAGAGGAGAATTAAATCCAATGCTTCTCTATTAGAAACTTAAAGGGACACGCTGAACCCCTAAAACATTTCAGCTTGCTCACGTGTCCTCCTTTTTTCATTTTACAAACTGCAGATTTTAATAGAAATTGGAACTTTTATAAAGTAACCTTGTTACATCCCTCTGACAGTCAATCAGACAACCGGTCCTGTTACTTCCTGGTTGCTTAGCCCAGTGAAGTTTAACTCAAAAGGCAGAAAATTGCCCAGAGCTCATGCCTTGCAAACACTTCTCATTGAGCTGCATTGGGAAGTCCACAGAAAGTCTGGGCGGGGTTCGAAGGGGTGGGCTTGCTGAGGCAGCAGACAACAAACCTGGAGCTGTTGCAAGTTGTTTTTAGATATTTTTTAGAAAATAAAAAAGCACAATTAAATACATGCATGTTTTTATTGGGTATGTCTACTAAACAGTGGTTTTTATTTTGTTTTCTTTTTTATGACAGTGAATACCTTTGGCATTTAGCAGCATTATGCTGTGCATGAATACCTTATCATTTTTAAAGGTCTTAATAAGTAAGTGCCACTAGTTCAGAGAATCAGTATCGCCTGAAATTGTCTGAAAAAGGAATAGAATAAGATATAGTCGTTTTAGAGTTTGGCTTTAAATAAAAGCCAAAGTGAGAGGTCGACGGCTAAGAAATTGTAAACTCTCAAAGTAAACTTTTAGGCCATCTCAAGGTATCCTTGTCAATTCTTTGTAATACTTAATTTAGTGACAAAAGAGTATTTACTGAAGGCTGACAGGACTATTTACTATTTACTATTTACTAAAGTTAGAATTCCTACTGAATTTAACCCCTTAAAGGACCACTATAGTGCCAGGAAAACATACTCGGTCCCCCTCCCGCCCGGCTCTGGAAAGGGGTTAAAACTTACCTTTTTCCAGCGCTGGGCGGAGAGCTTTCCGCCTCCGATCCTCCTCCGTTCCTCCTCGTCGGCTGAATGCGCACGCGCGGCAAGATCAGCGCGCATTCAGCTGGTCGCAGAGGAAAGCATTTACAATGCTTTCCTATAGACGCTTGCGTGCTCTCACTGTGAAAATCACAGTGAGAATCACGCAAGCGCCTCTAGCGGCTGTCAATGAGACAGCCACTAGAGGATTTGGGGGAAGGCTTAACCCATTCATAAACATAGCAGTTTCTCTGAAACTGCTATGTTTATAAAAGAATGGGTTAAGCCTAGCTGGACCTGGCACCCAGACCACTTCATTAAGCTGAAGTGGTCTAGGTGCCTAGAGTGGTCCTTTAAGGACACATGACATGTGTGACATGTCATGATTTCCTTTTATTTCAGAAGTTTGGTCCTTAAGGGGTTAAAGTGAATTTCAGATTTAAGCCCCAGTAGCTGTACAATACATAGAGCTGAATAAGAGAATGTTTCCAGTTTTACTATTTTGGCCTTAAATGTATAATTCACTTTGAATTTTAACCTTCTCACAAGTTCGGACCAAAACAAAATCTGGAATTTGAGCTATATGTCTGTTCAGTTTACCTCTTTAATATTAAAGGCACCCACACTTATTATATATCATATTGGTTAGGAGAAATAGGGATTTCATTTCACATCAAATATTTATATTTGATATACATATAAAATCTCAAAATACTGAGAGAGAGAGAGAAAGAGAGAGAGAGAGAGAGGTGTGTGTGTATATATATAAATATTAAGGGATCTGCCTGACAACCCAGAAAGCCAATCCAAGTCACCACGGTATCACCATGATCACAGGACTCGGATTGGCTGCAGGAGTACAGCTTAGATTGCCAGGCAGTCCCCGCGATTGGATCTGGTGAATTCAGAATGATTCTGCAGCGCTGCATGGTCACAGACGTTAAGACATGTCGTTAAAGCAAATGCTGTTCAGGACTTTATGGCACGTCCTAATGGCGCAATTAGGTTAACAAGTTGAAAAAATAATTGTAAAACTGTATTCAAAATATTACATAATTTGGAAAGCTTATCCAACAATATTAAATTGAGGCCATCGTGAGAGATGAGTATGTGGGTAAAAGTTTAATGTAATAATCGTAACATTAAATTATTTATTTAAAGGTCTCCATTATAGATTTCCATAGTTTTTAGGTATATCCTGCAATAGTGATATTATGTCACATTTTGTATGCTGCATTGCTGGAAATGACTGAGCTACCGTAATCTGCATAATATGGCTTTAATAAAATATATCAATAAAACAGTTTTAAGGTTTGTTCAGTGCATTCTGACAACGTGCTATTGTTTTAGTTCTTTAAAAAAATTTTTATCTAGGATACAAAATACTAAGAGTACTGTTTTTGTAACACAACCGCTAAAGCAAATCTGTTTTTTCCAGGAACTCCTCAAAAAGTTTACTGACACAGTTTCTGTATTTTTGGAAGTGAAAATTCACTACCTATAAAGAAAAAAATAGTGGGCTTTAAAAATTCTACTTGTACTATCTTCTCTTGTAGAGAGTAGTACAAACCGGTTTAGGTCCATGCTGCATATTAAAGTGGTACTCTAAGCGCAGTAACTAGTACAGTCTGTTGTAGTATTTATGGTGCTATTTCCCATTTATGTCGATATATAATTTTGAATGGTTTGGCAGAATCCAAGGGTCTCCTAGGCACCTATGGCCTGGCCTCTCAATATTCATATCGCCAATTTAGAAGTTTCTCTTTTGCATTATCAGTGTCTGTTTTATCCAAGTTCCACCCTTAACCATGGGATGACATAAACACAATACAGACACCATAAGCACTATGTAGATTAGTACAGTTATGGTGCTTTTAGTGCCCCTTTCCTATTTTGTGCTAGAGTTAAAATCACCCACTGGCATCTCAAATTCAGCTGGTATTGGTTGGAAGAGTTTTCTATGCAGCCCTGACATGTTCAGATGTATGCCGAATTCAGGATTTTATTCCACTTTGGGTAGTTTAACTACTTGGGCCTAAATTGTACAGCATGGTTGCCAGTATTCCATGAGTTACCTTTTAGTAGATTACTTCATATATTTTCCTACGTATGTGTTATGTAAATGTTTTTATTTTTTCTCTCTATACAGCCTTTGCTGGTGCATATACATTAATTTCCTTATATATTTTGATATATGAGAACATGTGTTTGTCTCTACATGTTTGTCTAAGTTTCTATCTTTATAAGTTTGTGCAGTATGCTGTTTCTTCTAATCCACATTCATATATCTGACATCGTTTTGCCTATGCTTGCCAAACCCAAGCTTTGCTTACATAAGCTTGCTGTAAAGCGCATACACTTGGAGGTGACCCAGTGACTGTCCTCACTGCCTTCTCTCCTGTTCCTTGGAGTTACATATGTCCCTGGGGCAGCAGAACCCAAAGGACAATGGCAGAAAGCAGCGTGTGTATGCAATTGTTTACTGTGCTGCAGCTGAGCATCCAAACCCACACGCTCTTTTACTAGCTACAGTGTCAGTCGTGTCACTGGCAAAATTATCATTAACACTCTGAGTGCCAAATCTAAAACTTCAAGCGGGAATACATTTAACTTTTGAAGGGCAAAGGCTTATTTTCTTCTTCATTAACCCATTGACAGTTATTAAAAAAAACAAGTTTAAAGATTGTCCAAAAAAACTATAACCTTTTATACGTTCTAGAAACGTAGCAGTCGGCAGGAACATCCCATTAATTTCCATGTTTACTGCTCCACAGCTAGACCTATGCCCTTGAATTTATTTTTTTTACCAATTTTCTTCTTCACATATTGTCTGTATTACATAGAAAAGTAAAGAAAAGAGTTACCTGCGCACTACCCCAAATCGCTATGCATATTTAGACAAATTGAGGTTTTTTTTGTTTCTCTCCAATGGCCATTAGGTGTAAGCCAGTCAAGACAAACCTCTTAGGTGGGTCCTACACTAACATTCACCTTGCTTCTTCAAGATAAACAAAATCTCTAATGAGACAAGAAGGAGTATTTTTCTAAACCTCTACATACTTATTAACCCTTAATAGGGAACACATGGGCTGGACGGCTGCATTGTAACATGGCTGTGTGATACAAAAGCAAATACAAATACACAAAATTAAGTCCTGCACTCAGACTCCCACTACTCTTGGGCGGCACCAGCAACCATAGTACACATCAGCCCCAATATATACTATAACACCCAAAGAAAAGAGTTACCTGCGCACTACCCCAAATCGCAATGCATATTTAGACAAGTGGAGGTTTTTTGTTTCACTCCAATGGCCATTAGGTGTAAGCCCACCTGCCACGTCAAGTAATAGGAATAGAAAACTAGAATATTGTGTTCTAAAAGAGAATATATCATTTTATAGAAAACCTAGTCAAAGGGAGGAGGGGCAAAAAACACATTTTCTCGAACACTACCTGCTGTGAGATTCCCAGTTCCATTTTCCGAGAACTGTTTTTCTTTTCCAGACATTATTTAGGATACGTGATTTTCCAAATCACTGCATTTACAATACAATGTACCTATAGCCCTGATAAGTTTATAGAATTATACGTACATACTGCAGAAAATTAACTTAGTATACAAGGAAAAGCAGCCATCGTAAAGGAACAGAAAGGCCTGGCAATGGCATTTTTATTTAATGGATGCATGGACCAAATTTATGTAGATTATCCCAAGAGAACTGTGTCCAGCAATGGCGTCTTACATCCCTAGGTGTGTTTGGTGATTGGCTCCATGAGTTTCGTAAAAGAATCAGGAATGCTAAGAGGTATATCGTGCTCTTTGCATTAGATTTAGTGTGAGGAATTGTTGAGATAGCTAAGCCTCTGCCAGGGTGAGGTGAACGAAATTCGAGGTAGATTGGAGCAGAGTGTCTGATACAGACGAAGCAGCTTCTAATTGGTTTGTTTTTCTATATGCATTTTTTGAAAGCATTGTCTAAAAATAATGCATAAACTGCTAGATTGTCTCTGGTCTTTGTGTCCAATAAGCCCTCTAGTTTACAGACTCACACTAAAGAGATCTTTAAGGAGGCACTCCAGGCCGTCACATGATGTTGTTTGTTTTATTATCAACTTTTAAAAAAAATAGTTATTAAAAATGATAATGCTATTGCTTCTGCTCTTACCTTCTAATCTACAGTCTTTCCAATTTTGTTCAAATAATATTACTGTATATATTTTCTGGTAGTTGTGGTCTGGCAACTCCTTTCCAAAACAGAAGGACAATTGAGCGATTGACTCACAGAAACACTTACTAAGTCCATAAAGAACTGTTTATAGGAAAATCTCTGCAGTGCTAAAGATAGTTAATTTAGCAGTTTGATTAGCAGAGTCACTTGTTGTAAGCTCACTGCAGATGCTGTAAAGCCTGCAAATTTGCAGCTATTACCAATAGCATATCTATATAATGATATATATAAAAAAAGAAAAGGAATAGGTCGATCCCAATCTGGAATATCAATTTAAGAGAGAATGAACCATCTACTAAATAAATATTGTGTTTGATTTTAACAATACATCAAACCCAATTACTACTTGCTTTCCTTGTAATAACAATTTCTTTTTTTTTTCTCTGGTAACTGAAGCTAGAATAGATTCTGTAGAATTTCAGATGTTGCCTGAAATGTTAGGCTGACTGGGATGAGGATTTTTGTAGAGTTGAGCTTTTAGCTTGTCTATGTGTTTGTAAGAAACTAGGCTTTTTCTTCCTCATATCCAGAACTTGGCAAGTTGGTAAACATGTTTGTATTGATACAGCCTTTATTGTGGGTAATATCTTTACCTTTAAAGTTAACTTATTTACTTTCCATGGTTGGATGAATGAAAACAGTGTAACTCATGCCCATGGTTGTTGTTAACGCCATATTGTATATATTCCTTGAGATTTGTATAATTTCTTTCCATGATATGGTATTCTTGCTGGACATCCGCACATAGATTGATTTAGGGGAGGTTTATTTAGGATCAGTGGTGACCCTGGCTGGGTGCTTAGGGATCGTAGTGTTAGACAGGGATACCTTTGGGACCCCTATCTAACACCTGGGCCTTGTGGCCACTCTTGTCCTGCAAAAGGGGCGTACCTGTGCGGAGTGAGGTTGGGTCTGCCAGGAGAACTTACAGGTCATCCTAATGTGAATACATGCCAGGCTTCCTGCAAATCACACAGCCCAGACCACTGAGGCCAGGAGCACTGCTTCAAAACCCTCTGCAGAGTCCGTAAGTGTGTTTAATGATGAGCTTGTGCTACTTGTTTTGGGGGACAGTTCCATGGTGTCCCCAAAAGCAGGACACCAAAGAACAAACGCTGGAAGGCAGAACAGGACCCTGAAATTGGGATTGTCCTGTAAAAATCAGGACAATTAGGAGACCTGGAACATCATTTCTTGGAATGGCTGCGTCAATAGCTTGAGGTTTGTAGATAATGTCCAACAGTGACGTTTGTATTGTGTTTTGCTCTCACCAAAAACCTATTTTGTATTTAGCTGTATGTGGGCTGAAAGACTTCCACTGCCAGATTAGAACAGCACCATGGTAGCAAGTTACAGAATGTTGAAATTGTATAGTTTGTGTTTTTTTGTCACTTTTATATCACAATCCATGGTTTGGTTTAAAAGTCCATTTTGCTCCATTGTTAAGGGTGTCTACAGAATCATAGCATAAAGCCTGAAACACGATGCTTGTCTGATTTGCATGTTATGCTGGGAATTCTGTGAGAATTGCAAAAACCTGTTTTTAAGAAATAACAGTGCCAAAGATGGACATCCCCAAGGTAAATGCATATGTATAGATCTTGGGAATATCTAAAAGCCAGCTATTAATAAAGATTTAATGTTATTACTTATTGCAGGTGGCCCATCTTCTTTAAGGATTACCTAGCAAATATGATTTACAACATAGACATGGGAATGTCTGTGTTTTAAGGTGTACCATAGACAGCAATGTGAGGGTGGGTCCTTACAACAAATCACTCAAAAAACATTTATTATCCCAAATTACCCTCAGATATTTGTAATTGAAGTACAAGAGCAGAGTTGAATTATTTTTTTTTTTTTAAACTCCTCAGATTTATAGTTTTCTTCCAAAAGCCCAATTCAGTAGACGGTGTAATATGCTATGCCGCTAAAATATTGAATGTAAAATTCCACACTGCTGGTGAATCCGGTATTGAGCAAGTTAGAGATGGGTCAGCCAGGGGGTGAATTCATTAACTACTTTCTAAGGAAACCGACAAAGAACCGGTTTCATGGCTGTGAGCTACGCTCGGTGCTGCCAGAGCAAGGATGGGTGTGCCGTGCTGGGGGATCCAATGTTAGTTGTCTTACAATCAACTTCATATAATTATTTCCTAGAAGAACGTAGTTCTTGTAAGCATTATGTGTGTGTGTGTGTGTGTGTGTGTGTTTGTGTGTCTGTCTGAGGGAGAATCACATTCTTTTACTTATATAATATTTGAGCAGAGCTAGGTGCTGGAAATTCAAGAATTAAAGCTGATTACAGTAAACAAATGGAGAGTAACAGGTATCTAGTTATTTCAGCAAAGTGCTGATACGGTGTGGATTAACCAGTTTAAAGGATATTCTTAAAGGGACAGCATCATGCAACGATCTCCCCTCTCAATGTCTCTCTATCGCCTTTGACTTATTAGTACAGTGATTTGCAAACTGTGCTGAAACTACAGGCCAAACTGCTCTATTAAAGTGGCTCTGATCTCTGGTTATTTCATGAGTATATCATAGTATTTCTCTTGCAGAAAAGCATAGGAAGGATATAAAAGTGCAGTATAGTACATAATCAAATGTAACAACAATATAAATGCTGGCATTCTTATATCTTTTTCTTCAAGCCTCTTATCATTTCACCTCCTTTCATTCCTTGTCCTCTCATTCCATCTCCCTTACCATTTCCCAGGCTTCTTTGTATTTATTTTTATTTTTTTAATGCTGTTAACCAATCGACTGTCACTAGCAGTAGCCATGCAGGCTTATAGACAAAAGTGAGAATTCCTGGGAATTCAAAGTTAATTTCTAATGTAAGACCAAAATAACCAAACTGAACACAGAATTAACTTAGTAAATAAATATATATATATATGTATGTATACAGGGACATATCTTCCGCGAGGCACACAAGGCATCTGCCTTGGGCGGCACTTTGCTGCCCACAAACGTCCAAGCAGATACCTTGTTTGCCTCGTGTCCTGGGGGGCTCAAGAGCTGGCCACTTTTGAGCCCCCAGAGGCGGGTAGCGGACAGCAATGGAGCATACTCACCTGAGCTCTTCCTGCTCAGCTCCCTCGCGCGCCGCTTAATGAAGCTGGGAGCCGGAATATGACATCACTCCGGCTCCCGGCATCACTAAGCGGCGCTCGAGGGAGCTGAGCAGGAAGATTAAAGCTCCCTCGCCACCTACTCAGCCTGTCCGCCCCCTGCCTGCCCGCCCAGCAGCCACACTGGACCGCTGGTAAGTAATCCACTCCAGCTCTCCCAGAGAGGCTAGGTGGATTTAAAATAAAACTTAAAAAAAATAATAATTTGTGAGTGTTGGTGGAAATGTGTGTGCATGTGTGTGTATGTATGTGTGTGTGTCTGTGAGTGAATGTGTGTGTTGGTCAGTGAGTGCGTGCGTCTGTCAGTGAGTGCCTATGTCTGTCTGTCAGTGAGTGCGTACAAACAGTGTGAGTCTGTCAGTGTGTCCCCGAGTAATAGTGTGTGTCTGTCTATCAGTGTGTCAAATCAGTGAGTGTGTGTGTCTGTCAGTGCGTGGGTCTGTCAGTGAGAGTGTGCATCTGTCAGTGAGAGTGTGTGTGTCTGTCTATCACTGTGTCAAATCAGTGTGTGTGTATGTCATTGTTTGTCAGTGTATATGAGTGTGTGTCTGTCAAAGAGTGTATGCGTCTGCCAGTGAGTGTGCGTCTGTCAGTCAAAGCGGCCTTGACAGGAAGGGGTGGGGAAAATTTAACTTGGGGGGTGGGGTGCCCGAGCACCGTCCTGTCTAGGGCAGCACAAATCCTAAATACACCACTGTGTGTATATATATATATTGGGCTTATTGAAATGTACTTTCAATTCATTTTAAAGAATTCATTTTAAGGCCAACATAGCAGATTAAACAAATATATATAAGTATTATATGTTCCATTTGGTCATTTTGGCCATACATTTGGTGATTCTCAGTATAGTAAATAACCTGAAAATGTCTACCATTGGTTTTATTTCTGTTGATGCAGTAAAGAACCTACCAGCAGCATATCACTGCTCCTTGTAATATGCTGCATTTATTGTGAGAAAGGCAAAAAGGGACAAATATTGCAAGTGGCCTCCAGACTCAGGGATGCACTGCAGTTACTGAATTCTACTGAATGCAGCTTTGTGGGCTGCAAGTTCGTTATAAACCTATCCTAGACTTGTATTTGCTTCTAACATTTTTGGTAGCAGTTAGAGGAAGGTAGTTTCCTTCGCCACTGTGTTGATGCCTCTCAACTAAACTCTCTTCCCTACAGAAATCGTGTGTAGAGACTAATGTTGAAGAATGTTAGTGGATTTGGGACGTCCACCAGGGTCCGTATAACGTGGAGGTCTGGTCCTCTGCGGACGGACAGGGAGAAAGGGTACCCCCATCTATGTGGGATACCTGGAGCTTGGAGTGCTGTGGTGATAGGTCTGAGGGCCTTTCTTGCCTGCAGGGTGTAGCGGGAGAGGTCCTGGTATATGGATATTTGCTGGTTATCGATGCGTATTGTGCCCATGCGTCGTGCGCCGCGCAGTATGTCTTCCTTCATGGCAAAATTGTCTAGACAGCAGACAATATCGCGCGGCTGTTTGCCGGGTGCTGGCGGCGCTCGTAGTGCGCGGTGGGCCCTGACCAGGCCCAGTCTGTGAATTTGTTGGCCTCCCAGGGCATGGCTGAAGGTTGTGCGCAGGATCTCTGGTATGTTTTCCGCTGGGCCCCCCTCTCTTACCCCCCCGCACCTGGAGGTTGAGCCTGCGGCCCTGTTGTCAAGGTCATCAACCCAGGTTGTCAGGTGGGCTAGGCTGGCTTCACAGCCATTTAGTGTGGTGCGTGTTGTATCAGAGTGTTCTGGTGTCTGCCCTTGTAACTGTGAGTCGTGCGTCCATGCTGGCTACATCTGCTCTCACCTGTGCCAGTTTGTCCCGGATTAGTTTACTGAGGCGATCAGAAAGGGCCTCCAGGTCTGCCTTGGTAAGCAGGTTGGGCAGGAGGGCTCGCAGATCCCCATCCAGCGTCCCCTGTGCACCCTGTGAGGTTGTTGGGGCCAGGAGAAAATCCGGCTGGGGGAGAGTCTGCGGTCTCACTTGCGGCCTCCATTTCCGGCTGGGAAGTGAGGTCCCGAGGGGTAGTGAGGAAGGACCTGGTGGACGTCTCTGTACCGGACCCTGATTGCCTGTGGTTCTGTCAGTTTCTTTGTGCGCTCGATTTTATCGCGGGCCACGAGGAGCTCCTCTTTCATGCGGCCATCTTCGCCGGCCGCAGGACACGCCCCCTCCATGTTAGTGGATTTGTAAAGAGCCATAACCTGAACCTTTATCACCCACTTTTTAGAATGAACCTCAATACTGATTAGCTCTACCTGTTCACATTGCAATCTTCCCAGATCAAGTAGATAGTCTTCCTTAAAAACTGGAGGCAACTGTCCCACTAAATCCAAGTTTAGGTTCAAGATTTTGCAATTAGATGTTTTGAATAGATGTCCAAATAATTTTGTCCATCTATCATTTATTAAGTAACATAATAAACAAGTTAACTTTTTAAACATAAGGTTAGAAGAGCACAGTAAGCTATGAAATTGTTTAAATTATCTTGCTATGACATTTAAATTCCCTTTTAAAACCGTGAGAGACAACGAAAAGGGCAAAGGTTCAAAGCTTTGGACTTTCCCTTGAACTCCAGGCCACTTGGCAGACTTACCCTCTCGTTATATTAGATTGTAAATGTATTCCCTGTTTACTTGCAGTCTGGAATTTAACAACATTATTATTATTGTTATTCTACCTAGTAATACGTCTTACATTGGCTCTGTAAATAGAGTGCAATAAATTATAATATAGATTCACTCATTGTATTTTGCACTCTCTTGGAAAAAATAAATCATCCATATTTCCAAACGTATTTGACTTTGCTTTTCATTGAGTCTTTAAAAGGACGCACTACTGCCAAATAAATTTTAAAAAAAATCAAATAAAATAAACATATATATATATATATATATATATATATATATATATATTACTATTTAGTAAATAGACACTCAGTGAAAAACATGCATTTAATTATGCAATATTCTCATTGGGAGTACATCTAAAAACATCTTGCAAAACCTGCAGATCTTTTGTCTCAATGAGAAGCCTTTGCAAGGCCGGTTCTCTGAGCATTTTCCTGCCTCTTGATTTTAGATCCACTGAGCTAAACTGTCAGGAGGTAAAAGGACTGATTGACAGCCATGGAGGGAACACGGCTAATTTCTGAAATTTATGATTTCTATTGAAAGCTGCACTTTTTGTAAAATGGAAAAAAAAAGAGGACATACTTTAAGGCAACACTGTCGCGCCGTACCTTTCTCCAGTCATTTCCTCTATCCTGCTCTGTCTGTACACAAATTGCGTGGAGGGAGTGTGGGCAGAAGAAGACGTTCCGGCTGAGGAAAAAGATCCGAACCAGGAACAAAGAATTTACAAAAAGGGGAAATGGGGGACTAGAGGCATATTAGACTGATGATGGCTACAATGAAGAGTAGGGTAGAAAGGAGAGCACGTATAAAAAAGGGATGCGGCCACGACAGTGCCACTTTAAGTGGTTGTGTGTATGCTAAATAAAAGCATCCTGTGATGTTACAGAAGCACTGTATTTATGATATTGTCCCAATCGGTCCATACCTCTTTGTATTCTCAAAGTTTACACTGGAAACAAATGATCTTTGAAAGATTATTATTGGCAACAAAATTCTGAGTGCTCTATTTCAAATTTAGATCATCTAGGATCCGAGGAAGATTGCTATCATTCTTAATAAATTCATTCTACATCCTGTGTAGATTATACTGTTTACCCAGTCCGCTAAATCTTGCATTTTTGGTTTTCTTTGCATTATCAGTCAGCTCCTTAAGTCACATTTCATTGAAAATAAATAAATTAAATAAAAACAAATAATGCCAGCTTCCTGAAAAGTTACTACCAAGAAATAGAAAATAATTTTAACCGTTGTACTAACAAGGAGAAATTTTACATTTGAGATAGTAAAATACAGTGGTTCAAATCTAGCTTGGGTCACTGGACATAAAGAGAATTACATTCTACTCCCTTGGCTGTTTTTAGAGGTGTAGGAAATAATTCATAGTCTCAATGTATTCATGATCTATATCACAGTCTCTATGATTGGACGCACAAAGCTTTTTGATATCTCGTTGCTCCTCTTATGTTGTGATATTTCTTTAAAGCGTAATCAGGATTTCTTCTCCCCTCTGAATTACTAATGAGGCTTCTGAGACTTTCTTGCCATTTCTATGGGGATGTGTTGGGAACCCTCACTAAAACTATTCTAACTTTATATAAGTTCTTTATTGGGAAGTGGGGTCATTTGGATTTTTGCTTTTTTTGGGGGGTGGGTGGGGAATGGGGTAATAGGAATTAGTATTAGTCAATTGGCACTTATCTAGTTACCTGGAAGTCCTATGGACCTTGATATGTCTATTCAATGCATTTGTAGTTATTCAGTCCTCTAGTACCAGTAAACTGCAGAACCTTACTGAGTACGGTGTTAGTTACGTGCAACTCCAAATGTGTTTTAATAACCATGTTAGGCCAGATAAGACAAACTTAAAACAGAGTTGGCTTGGGGAATGTTTCACATTCTCCTAAAATATTAAATTTACACTTTAATGAACAAATCTGTCAGTGTTTGCTTTCTTATGTTTACCTGTTTCTAGGACTTCTTTTTAACCCCGCCAAATTCAGTAAATTTGTCTTTTTCATGAATTCAATATGGCTTGCCTAAACTGTCTTGATATATATAATGTGGTGTATATTTTGACCTTTGTTAAGGGATTAATATGCTCTTGTACATTCTGACAAGCAAGTTAAAAATCCAAGTCAATGGAAGAAAATATTCTCCTAAAGTTTGCAGCTTCAGTGTCACTGTTTAGTGAATAAATCACTAAAATTATGTGTTTTTTTGTATTGTTAAACCCTACTGACTGTGTTCAATTATTTAATTTGTTCTCACTTAAAGAATAGTGTGTTGCCAATTCCTGGTTAACTTATATATCACAGTCTATAAATAATTGCCATTATCCTTTAATTATTTTATTTCTGAGACATGTTGTATATTTACTTTGTGATTCGTGGGTGCTAATTCTCAATATGTAATCCCTTCAGGCCAGGGGGGTAAGGTAAATCCTATAATATAATTACAGCCCTGGCACATCACCTGTCACAAAAGTCTGTCTGTCTCCTGAAATACATCAAACCTTTAGCTTTCTAGGACCTATTGGAATTTTAAGTGATTTAACTTTTAGCCAACCTACAACACAATTGACATAGAATACCAGAAGCTGTGTGTTAGGTTTATCACCTGTGCCTGCTGTAGTGGTTATGGTGCTGGGTTGCCGTGGAGCCATCCCATGATAAGATTGCACGGCAAGGTGCCATGGCCCTCCTGGCATTATAACCACTGAAAGCAGGCTGGCATTATGGTGCTTGAAATGTCCCTTTAACACTTTAAGGTATGAAGAATCTTTATTGTAACATGTGACTTAGAATAGCTAAATAATTCTAATAGCATAACTTTATTGGTCAATAAGGGACATTCTAAACTTGTTTGGTCTTTTAAGGGATAATACATTGTGTCTCTGTACACAGTAGCTTAGCAGTTGGACAAGGATTTATGTGATAAGATCCAACTTCATGGACCACATACATTTCTCCTGCAAGTGCAGCATCTTTAGGAACCTTTTAAGTAGCAGTCTCAGCACCATAACCACTGCAGTTACTTGCTGAATTTTTAATGCTAGCTGGCAGGAGCCATCCCCGCTTCTGAGTAAAACTATTCCTTTTCTGCTTTATAAATGTTGGCCGTATTTAATGGCAGTGGTAGGCTGAGCATGCCCGCTTACCGGCCCAGCCTATCAATGCCATCCAAATGTGGACGATATTACTAACCAAGAATCTTCACCTACACAGTAATATCTTAACATTCTAGTAGTATTCTCATGGTGATTTTGACTAACTAGCGAAGTGTATTGGGTTAGGAGCTAGCTTGCAGAATTAGACCAAAATAGCGTACTCCGCATCTTGGGAAACCTAGTTATCACACATCTGCAGTGTCAAGTTGATTGTACGGATAGCCATCAGTCCACCATGGTTTGCTGTACTATGCCAGATGTCACGTCACCTGTTTTATGTTAGATCGTGCTTTCTTCAAAGATTTCATACTTCCCTAACTGGCCGGGTGTTTTTTTGTTTTTTTTACTTGCACACAGGTACTTAGATTAGGTTTAGTGTACCTGTCACCTGAGTTTTTGTTAGTTTTTTTTTTTAATTTGAAATTCAGATGAGACATGGACAAAGGATGAAAAAAATGAACTTTATTTATTAACGATTCAGTGAGCCAGTTAGCAGCACTGGAATCATCCCAAACAATGGTTTCTGTTGACCATCTCCCAAGAAAATATCTATGATGTCAGCCATCAATGAATCGTGACTGCCTTAAATAGAAGGGCTTAAGAAATGGAAAGCCAGGCTGAGCCCTATAGAGCCTTGCGGTTAAAAAAAACCAACAACTTATAGACCTTAGTTTTCTTTTAAGTATAACTATAAAAAAGCATAAAGTAAATTTTAAAAAAATAATAAAAAATTATACCTAGTAGGTAATGTTTAATATTACATTTATTTAAAATGACAGGCCCCCTGCACGTATTGGCCAATACCTGATTTGTTGCCCAAATGAACTTTGCAGATACTCTATTTTTCTTACCTGTGATCTATCAAAGCTATGTTATGTGCTTGGCTGAGCAATTGTTTTTCTACTATCTAGGATTGTTTTAAAGGGACCAGCATATCTACTGGCTCATTGGTGGACAATGCGATTTTTAGCACAAATACAGAAAAAAGTGCAATATATAGTGGCGCTCAAAACATGCAGCTAGTAATCACTTGTGGAGCCAATCACAACAATTCCACAAGATATAAATACAACAAAACACAAGATACAGTGATCAGCGCAAAGTAATACAATATGTGTGTATAAAAACTATTACACCCACACTGGTAATATATCCTAGTAATGTGGTGGAGAATAAAAAATAAATAGATCTACCCTAGAGGAATTCTTGCAATGATGTTCTTATACATATGCGCCCACCTCCTGCTGGTGACTCCATCCTAGCGCCCCCTGGGCCGGTGTACCTTAAGGCGGCCGCTGGTGCCGCCTTATGGACGCGCCGGCCCTGTCTCTGCACCACTCTCACCAAATTAGATCTATGTATTGGTAAGAGTTCTGCACAGCCCTTCTAATTTCAAAACATTCTCTACCCTATGTATGGGAAATTAAGCTATTTCCCTTGCACAAACAATGCATATCATAAGCCATGTAGACTTAGCAGGAAGAGACAGTTGCTGAGAACATTGCTTAAAAGGCAGAAGATAAAGATAATGAAAGATTTCATAATGTATCGATTGTCACATTCATTATCAGCGCCTGATGCAAAGAAATTGGGAAACTAAAAATTACCAGCTTGAGAACTGAGCGGTGTCCCACCAAAGAAACAACTATTAGAGTTTGTTCCTTCTCCGTATTCTATTGCGCTCTGTTCCAGTTTGTTTGCTCTTTAATGTAACAGGGGTATTCGTATCAGAGGCTGAAACGATTGTCTAGGGTTGCTGCATCTGACATGCAGAGAGAGCCAGCCTGCATTTTGGATCTTGACCACCCTTTTGGGTGTGATCAGTATGAAATGCAAATGGTTTGGTTATCTCAGTAATGGCACAAGATGGGCTTAACCAGCCCATCAACCAGCTTGAGAACCTAGCAGGACCCACCAAAAGGGCCAGCTATTTGAGTTGTTGTCCACTCTCTGTATTTCCTTGTCCCCTGTTTTGTTTCCTGTAATGTTTTTCTTCTGGGGATACTAGACAACAATTGCCAAACATCACATGGCTTTGTGGCATACTTGAGGCTGGGCAAGGACCTCTTTTGCTGTTCAAATGCCTTTCTGTGAATAGCAAATAGCACTTCAGCAGTGCCTGGTGCATGGGCAGCACAGTGACTGCTTTGCAGAGTTCCCTGTTTACCAGCCATACGTGTGCCAAGATTGCATCCCATCGTCTGCCATGTCATGATGTCTTTTTATATTCTAATGTCTCCTGTTGGAGCTTAAGTCATTTGTCTCGTATGATGTCTGTAACAGAGTATTACAATACTCATAATACATATTTTGTTGATGTTTTTTTTTATTTTTATAAATTGTTTATTTTTCAGTGCCGGTTTAATGATACAGTCTTTGAATGGGTATGCCACATCAGCAATTGCATAAAATATATCAGTGATCGAAGCATCCTGCCATTGGAGCTAAGATTATCTGTGCACATTTTTCTTATATAGGGCTAGGTAGTCATAACGATGTGATCGCCCGTGCCAGTGGTGGCTGTAGGTATTAAAGCTAGTGTGGATTTAGTGGGTTGCACCGATGATGATATGGTGCTGGTACAGGAGTTGCGCTGGTAAGCCTCCTGTTCCTTTTGGCTATGCGGTTTGTATAAAGTTGGATACTAGAGTAAGGGATAGGAGTTTGAGATTTGTCTATGTGTGAGTGGCTTATATTTCAGAGTATGGGTGTCTGTGCCATCTTAGGGCTGGTGACTTTAAGACTGTGGAGGAGGTCTATGTGAATTAAAAAGGTTTGGCCATTTTGACTAATATGTGCTCCATCGGCTGCTACGCCTCTTAGCCCTGAGGCATTGGGGGGGGGGGGGAGGGGAGGGCAGGGGCAGTGTGCAGCTGTACTGCCTTAAAGGCACAGGATAATGCATGACATGCCAGTGTAAGAGATGAGAGCCTAAATAAAGACAGGTTGACAGGTTATTGTCTGTTGTTTGGCCAGTCCAGGCTTCATGTCACGGGTCCTGGGTGCGGACTGTCCACCCCGATGGCGTTGTTGGAGAGTCCCAGTGTGGTCAGCAAGGCCGATCCTTCTTCCACGTTGGTGATTTTATAGTGTTGTTCGCCTTTGGTCACCCACAGCATTCTGGGTGTTGCCCATCTGTATACTAGACCCACTGCTTGCAGGGTAGTGGTCACAGGCTGCATGCTCTTGCGCCATGATAATGTGCCTCTGCATAAGTCCTGGAAGAATGTGATTTGATGTGTTTCAAAGTCATAGGGCGCTTTCCCTTTTATGGCCGTTATTAGGGCTATTTTATCTGTCAAGGTTTGGCATCGTAGGATTATGTCGCGTAGGGCTGACTTAGGTGCCCTTAGGGGTTTCGCTATGCGATATACGCCATCAAATGTAAAGTGTTTTGCCTGCCTGTTGGGAATGAGTGAGGCCACCAGGCGCCTTATAAAGTGGGGTAGTTCCTCCAATGGCATTATGATATCCCCCTGATCTTGACATTCTTCCTTCTACCCCTGTCGTCTAGGATGTTTACTTGCCTGGAGACGTTAGCCTGTACTGTTTGCATCTGGGCAACTGTGTCTTTTAGTGAGTTTAGGGCTTGGCTCAGGCCTTTCACTTCTTGTTCCGTGGCCTGTGTTCGGGCCGATACCGCCTGTACCTCTGCTGCCAGCCCCTTCAGGTCTGCTTGCCACATTAGCTGTAGGTTACCTTGGAGTCCCGCCAGCATGGTCTGGATGTCTTGTTTTGTTGCTGGGGCTAATCCATCAGTAGCCTGTGTACTTGTGTTGCCTGTGTTGACCTCTGCTGTGCTGTGTTCTGAGTCTTCTTCTTCAGATCTCTTAGGTGAGGCTGCCGTGTTAGCCCGGGCCTGTGAGGGAGGAGGGTGCTGCAGCATGCTGCTAATGTCCCGGTTAGGCGTGGAAGTGCTTGCGGCTGGTTTGTTGGACCTCCGTCCCATATAGTTGTGGGCTTTGCCCGTGCCACGCTGTCAGCTCCCTGGTGATGTACTGGTCGCGTGTGCGATAGGCCCCCTGACCCTTGATGCGGCGTTTCATGCCCGACGGTTGTAAAAAAGGCATCTGTGTGTTCAGCAGGGTGCCTGGAATCTGTGCTTGTCGTTAGTTTTAGTCGATGGGCTGCGGGTGTGCCGTTTTTTTAGTTATTTTTGCGCTGGCCGTACAGAGCTTTTGTAAATGGCAACTGCCTCGTTGTGCCGTTGGCTCCGTCCCTGTTGATTTTTTAAATTACACTTTATATACATGTTTTACAATAGGTCATTAAGTCAGCTAAAATGTCTAAAAATATCTGCACCCCAGCCCTTCACCCCATGGCCATTCAAGACGTTGAGCAATCTGTAATTACTATGTACTATATATATGGGTCTATGGCAACACCTTTTCCCTTTCTCCTAAAAAAAGAATAAATAATAATGAAAATGCTGGCAACTATATAGGGAAGTCTTACTCCTAAACATTGGTTTACAAACTTAGGCACTCAAGGGTTAAGTCTTGTCTGTTCTTTTTCTTCTTTCCTTCTTACTTAACAGTGATTCTCAAACAAGCCCTTGGGTGCCTCTAATGAACCAGGATTTAGGGATATTTCCAAGCATAATTATTTAATCCCCGAAATCCTTAACTGCTTGTGGTTAGAGATGCACAGTTTTTGAACTATTACAATATAGTATTAACGTTTACAACTATCTGAAAATGTGCACGCTGTTTTTCTGAAGAACTTTCTCAGTTCTTGACCAGTGCCAAGTAGTCATGCAGTTAAGAATCCTTCTTCTGCCTTCTAACCTGTTTGAATATTTTATATAGAAATCTATTCATGTACCTTCTCTCTGGCAACTGAAAAAAATCAGTTTGGTTCCTGGATATGCGTGCTGCTGCTGCACTGTACAAGCATTTGTAACCTCTGACCTGTCTACCAAAAGGAGGAGACCAATAGGTTTTTAACAAAAATGATCAGGGATCAAGAACATACTGCCCAACATTTCAAGTAGACAAACATGGACACTTTCATTTTAGGGGTGTGAGTGGAGTTGTGGCCCGGGGCAAGGTTGGTATGAGAAATTGTAGGTGACTTACTCATTATAATTTATCTTATTTATGCATACTGATTTCTAAACACATTTATTGTAGTTTAAAAACACAATACTTTGAGTATTATTGCTCTTTTATACATACAAACACAACAATAATATGGAGCTCCTAGAAAAGGCATTAAGGTAGAAAAGAGAAAAAGAGGGATTTGGGCCCAAAATAGGGACTGCTCCTCTTGTATAGGGGTACTTGGCAGGTATGAAGACATGTTAGCACATTGATTATAAGAACTTGTAACCTGCTAACCTATATGTCTTGCAAGATCTTGTAAGATTACAAAAATGTATCTATTTACTGATGATATGGTACTTTAGCCGATAAAATGTATCATCGCTGTTTATCAAGTTGCTAACTTTACCAAAAGCTTTCAGCAATCACATATATTCCTGAAATCCCTCTTGCCTGAAAATGTGACACCCACAGCTGTTGTGTGGAGTGACTGCAAAATGCAGGTGATTTCTGTGTAGAACAGAGGAGATCCCTCTTGCACCATGTATCCTCTATGGAATTCTGCTGTTCGCCGTTCCATCCCAAGGGGAGAGGATACTGGCACACAACAAGCGTTGACGGCAGGATCTATAAGTGGAAGGATGGAGATGTGCTCATCGGGAGCTTGGGGCTGTGTGAGGTCAGATGCTTTTTTTCACTCCTGGTCTTGAAGGGACCCTACAGCTTTACTTGTGGGCTCCCACAAAGGCACCACAAATGGAGAGACGGGCAAACCGCTCATAGTGAACACCTGGCAGCTGTATTCTCCTGTTGGATCAGAGCCATTGAACAGCAAGATGAAACCGTGGGGAGAGCAGTTAAAAGGTAGAAACTGCAAGCTCACCCAGTTAACCTATATTCTCTCCCATTCCACCTGCAAATCTTAGACCTTTTATTGATACTTTCTCTTTTGTTCCTTCGATACAGAGCGCGTCTTTATATCGCTGTTTAACCCATTTATCACTTACTCTTTAAACTGTCGGGATGTTTGCTTTGAATATATGCACAAGTTTATTCACTAAAGTATGAAGTGTCAGGGATTCAGTGTGAATTCAGAATGAATATCAAATCTAGGCGAAGAGAAACCGAAGACAAAAGTTGACTAAGATTTTTTTTCCTTTTGTCCTGAAACATGAAAATCACTTTGAATTTACTATTAATTTCCATCAATTTACAGTTAGTAAATACCCTGATAATGTTCATCTTGTAAAAATGTTATCAATAGTTGCAAGATGTTCTGTGCGTATTACAAGTGCACTCCTGACAAAGCATGTCAGCTTACTGAATTGTTTTTTTTTTTCTTTAGAAGTCTGTCATTTTTTTTTTTACATTTTATAAAAGTTGCAGTTTAAGTCGAAATTTGCACTTTTCTAATTGGGGCAGAAACACAACCCTGGCTTTCACTTAGACACTCAGGGTCATGTTCTTCCTCTTCTGTTAGCTCTACAGAACTGTATTGTCTGTTGGCCATTTAGGCCTAAAATGTAAAATTCACTTAGATCTTTCTGACTTTTCACACTTTAGTCAATATCACTAATAGTGTATTTTTGCTGTATTTATAATTCACTAGCCTCAGTACACAGAATTCCATTTAGAGAATTCTGTCTCACTGTCTATCATATTTTGCCTTCTTAATAACCTTCTATTGAGATAAATGCTCCTTTCTCCCAAAAGCTATATGGTAACTACCAAGTACGAAAGGCAGTCAGGGAGGTGTATTACTATTCTTAAATATGATGTCCACAGACCTTTTTCTGCCGTCATTGTTCCTAGCCTCAAGCAAGGTTCGAAGAAGCACGTTTATTCAGAGGGACTGTGCCATTCAGTTCTGGAGATGCTGGCACTCTCATACAAAAAGATTTTATCGTTCAGTTCTGCAATTGCTGGTTCTATCATACAGCCAGACTTTGCCTTTGAGTTCCAGAGTATCTGGCTTTCTTACAGAGAGTGACTTTGCTTTTCAGTTCTGGAGTGGCTGGCACCCTCATACACAGGGACCTTGCTTTTCAGTTTTAGAAAGCGCTCTTCCACAGAGAGAGAGAGACTTTTCCTTTCACTTCTGGAATCGCTGTCACTCTCTTCCAGAGCGATTTGCTTTGCAGTTCCCTTTGATTTTCTATGTAGTTACTTATTTTAAAGCATAAACCTGAGAGAGTGTGTATGTATAATGTGTGTATATTATATCAATGTAATGACTGTAGACTGATGTAGTTTTATTCATTGATATTTCAGCAAACTCTGTGAAGCTCGAGATGCAGAGTGATGAGGAAGGCGATAGGAAGCCCCTTCGCCGAGACACTCCAATGAGACTACAGGAAGAGGAGAGTGTGGATGAGTCAATGGCTGAAACCAATGGGATCTCTGACTCACGCATCAACCAGGATCTGTCCCTCGATGGTGGCATCCGACTTCCGAATGGTAAACTGAAATGTGACGTCTGTGGCATGGTTTGCATTGGCCCCAATGTGCTAATGGTCCATAAGAGGAGTCACACGGGTAAGCAGTCAGAAGCCAAATTGCCTGTAGCATCTGATGGTAATATTACCTGATACTATTGCCTGTTGGCACATCCTGTTCATAACCTTTAAAGGCAGGTTGCACCCTTTGGTATACTTAGCAAAAATTGTTAAAATTAAAAAAAAAGTTGTTTGGGGAGAGGGGACCAGGTTCAGTTTTAAAGAAAAGGTTAGCTTTATCAAATACAGAAACATTTATTAAGACAGATAGTTACTGCGCAGACGATGATGTAAAAACTGATTGTTTTATATACAATTTATTTTATTTTATGTCACCCAGTAATTTTTAAGAGCTCGCCATGATTAACTACAAGGGTGTACACTGGCTTTGAAACAGTCTGTGCACAGTACACCATGGAAAATGCTAAAATGTATATCAATTCTAAGCAACTATTCATATATTAAAATCGTTGCTGGGTCTTCTAATTACTAGAGGTGAATTTCTACACACCCATCATCAAACACCAGAAAATAGCTTTATTCCCTTTAAGAGCATCTAAAAAATGCTGGATGGTGTGCCAATCGTGGCACCATTGTTGTTCAAATCCAGACACAACTGCTACGCTTTATGAGGACTCTAGTAATTGGGGACACAAATGCCACGAGAGTAAATTAAACCATACTTTTCTTACAGAGCAACCATTGATAGGATTTAAACAAGTCCTTCCTATTTCCAATGAATCGTATCATTGGTTGTTAGTTTTCTGTGACGTAACATCAGTTATGCTGTATTCGTGTCTAGGGACATATTGCTGATAGATCTTTCCCTACAGCACAGACTATTTGGTGTCAGATGTTTGATTCCAAATACAGATTGTTGCTTGGTTGTGTTGTGCATGCAAAGTAAATAATTATATGCTTTTGGAAAAAGGGTGCTGCATGTGACATTATATAGTAGGTGTTACTGTATCTGTGTACATCACCATGATGCGTTTTTACTATGCTCAAACTTTGAAATTAAAGCTGGCAACAACAGAAAGGAAATCTGCAAGAGGTTGAGATGGACCAAATTCTTCCCTTCAACCTTTGTCACAATGCTTCTAAGTGCCTATCCTTAGTGCTGTGTAACTGCAGTTCACATATTTACATCATTGGTAACACTTTAATACTTTCTTTAATTCATAGAGCCCCATATTAATGAATGATAGTGTAACATTGCGGAATGGTCGATATGTTAAGTTAAAAACCATAGACTTCTGCGTGGATTGCTAATGAATTTGGTTCATAAGGCAATTGGGAATAATAATGCAGTGAGGTATGAAGATTATGCAGTTTTGTTCCTACAGGGTTGTTCACTAAAGTTTGAATTGTCAGGAATTCAAATGTTAGGCTAAAATAGTCAACAATTACCTAAAATGTTACCTAAACATGTGGGAAATATAGCTGTCATGAAAAAATGTCCAACCATTAAATGTAAGCCCAAGCCCAACTTAATGTATTTAGTCCTGTCTCTTCCTCAGTCATGACGAGGATGTGATTCAACATACTTTCACTCCAGCCCAAAGATAAGACTCTCCACTGCCACCCAATCCAATTTCACTGAAATAATCAAGATAATGTTTGTCCTTTCAAATCAGAAAAGCATTGTGAGCGGCAACAATCCAGTGCTTCTCAGAGATGGCATTGTATTAATTTGCAAGGCTACAGAGAGCAGCATAAATGCCCCAATAATACTTCACTAAGATGAAATGATGTGTGTGTTTAGACCAGTTAAATGTGACGGAGCTGATGTTTAATGGTAAACACATGTTATTTTTTTTTATTTAAAGGGATACTATAAGAGCCAAGAATACAAAACTGTATTCCTGGCACTATAACTCCCTCTGCCTCCTCCCTCCCTTGGACCACCCCCTTCCTCCCCCCTTCCCCAATGATGTGTATAAAGGGTTAAAAACCCTTTTTTAAACTTAATTTACGCCAGCACGATTGACCCTCGCCATTGGGACGTGGTTCCGCATCCTCCAACGTCCCACAACGAGCAGGTGCTAATGCGCATGCACTGCAAATGCCGTGAACGCATTAGACTTCCCCATAGGAAAGCATTAAATCAATTATTTCTTATGGGGAAAAATTTGACGCTGGATGTCCACATGCAGAGCGTGAGGACGTCCAGCATAAGTTACCAGACCAAAGGTCCGTTAGGATCCAGGAAGCGACTGTCATCTGGTGACAGTCACTGGATGCAGACATAATGCTGCAATGTAAACATTGCATTTTCTCTGGAACTACAATGTTTACCGTTGCAGCACTAAGTGCAATAGGGACACTACACCCAGACCACTTCAATGAGCTGAAGTGTTCTGGGTGCCTACAGTGTCCCTTTAATTAGTGTCAGATGTAAGGAATCCATTTATATCAATACCAAACCTCCTGCAAAATAGATAAACATAAAATATAACCAAAAAAGAACTGGTGTGTAAATCCCTTTAAATATGCTAACTATTAAATGAGCTAGCCTTATCAGGTTTGACACACATGCAGAGCCAACACTTGGCATTTCACGATGTCTTGATAGAAGTGTTAATAAAATTGCTCTTACATCGACTGCTGCAGTCAGCACAAAGTTTAGCTTGTTTGACAATTTGAAGAAAGCTGCTTTTGTTATTTAATACACATATTTGTTGAAAGTTCCTATCAGGCAGGAAGAGAAGGCGAGATAAAATATAAAATGAGCATATTGCAAAACAATATTGTGGTGATGTGGCACTAGGTAAGAAGTCTCTTTGTTAGCTACCTTGTATTTTATAGTGGAATATATATGATTCTGTGTATTCTGTCTATATATTTGCAATAGCTCAGGTAATATTATAATCGGATCCTTCAGGCATTCCTCTGTGGGGCAATCAATCAATAAAAAAAACAAACAAAAAAAAAAAAAAACAACCCCATTCATGGTGGGACAAAGAAGAAGTAATAAAAAGTGTTTGCAGAACATTCCACAGCATACACAACCTTCTGTGTTTTACTTGAAAAAGGAGGCAGATTAAGACATATTTACAATTTCTTTAAGGTAGTATGGAATCTGGGAGATCGAAGAGGTTGTGTGATACCTTTTATTGGACCAGTGTATATTTAGCTTTTACAAGGACCTCTTACCTCACTAGGTTACCAAGACAAGCAAGGTAAATGCAGTAAATCTAACCAATGTTCGCCAATAAAAGGTAACCCACTCCTTGTTTGTGTTCCCTGGTTTCAGACTACTGTTTTGTTATACAATATGACACCTGTTCACTGAACTTAAAGGAATGTTGCATTTTAAATTTATATTTTTTTTTAACCCAAGGTTGTTGTTTTTTTGTTTTTTAAAGCACTAGTCAGTGAGCAGCATCCATAGGCATGCCTTATGAAAAATTCCAAATGACTCCCAAGTCCTGACTGCTTCAAAGCTTGAACAAAAATCTTCTCATTTCTGATTGGCTGACGTTATTACAGCCAAACAGAGAAATTGTCATTGCTGCTATTTCACTGAAATAAATTAGACTGCTACATTAATGCCAAGCCCTGCTTCTTTCAGAGAATCATGGCAATTTGAAGAAAATAAACTATTTTTGAACTGTAACTTTCCTTTAAATTCAGATTTATTTCAACTGCAATATGGACAGGTGTTGCTGCGCTCAATCACAGTCAATGTAGCTTTGGATTTTTATTTTTTTTCTCAAAACTAAAATGCCCTCCATGAATGGGACGTTGAACATTTGGCAACAGTCACTGACCTGTTAACCGTTTCAAGGCTATAATCAACCTTCTAACACTTAAAGGGTTAGCAGGAGATCTCTGCCTTTAAGAGGAAGAGAATCTGTAATGGCCTCTGTTTAGTGAGACTCTTCATAGACTGCTGAGCCCTGGCTTTGCTATGATTAACCCCTTCACTTTTTAACCAGTTTACACTGTATTTTTGTGGAAGCTGTCAGTGAAAGGTTTAATTATATTCTTAATCTTCTTGGGGTGTGAAGGTAATAATAGTGTACATAATATGTTTGTATTCATTTAATTATCTTACTTTTTTTTTTCCTGGACATGGCCTGAAGCACACAACCCCTCTGGAAAGGAAAGAAACTACTTTGCAATCCCACCTGTGTCATTTATTACATGACTATGACATTTAAGAATGTATATAGTTTAGGAATCAAATTTATCATTTGAAAAAGCTGAGTAGTGAACAATAAATAACAATGATCTGGTAATGCAAGAGTGTTTTTAAAAAAACAACTAAAACACAAGTCAACGACCCATTAGAATTTATCCATAGAAGATTGACTCAATATTTAACTTTTCATAACATGTAACTGGATTTAGCGCATCACGGGAATAGTTGCAGTTGGGGGATCTAACCTGTGGCCATTCTGTTCTAGAATGCGTTAATCACTACTTTTATTTCTGGATCTTAAGGGGTCCCAGCAGCAGGTGGAATTGCAAAGTCACATTGTATGCAATGGCTACATTTACCGTCTGCATTAAAACCTCTCTCATGCTTGTCTAATGTGTAAGAGCTGTGATTTTTGTCTCTGTTTAGGTGAGCGTCCATTCCACTGTAATCAGTGTGGAGCATCTTTCACACAGAAGGGCAACCTTCTACGGCACATAAAACTGCACTCGGGAGAGAAACCTTTCAAATGTCCATTTTGCAGCTATGCATGTCGAAGAAGAGATGCACTTACGGGGCACCTTAGGACACACTCTGGTAAGTTACTTTTATGGATCCATGTCTGAGAAATTTAGTTTGTTCAGTTCCCCCGCTGTAAAGTCATTTTTTGGACAAATTTCATTCATTGAGTCTTTCGAGCTTTTACTTCTCTGGAATGTACATGATTGAAAATGTTGATAGTAACCTATATCTTTTGTTAACCTTTTTTATGTTTTTTTTTTTTGTATTAAAGAAACACTTTAAGTACGTAGACAATGTACCTGCTGTCTGACATACATAAGCATTGTCATTTGTAAAAAAACAAAACAAAAACTGCAATGTTTACATTTGTCAGTCAGTCTCTATGAGAAACATCCAATTAGCTGCAATTGCTGCACTTGTACATTAGGAAGCATTTGATTGCATTAAGATTATCTGCCAAGTTGATTTCTTCAGGCAGAACGGCTGTTCGGCAAAGAATGACTAGCGATGGTTCACCACTTAGTTTACCAGCATTTGCCTTCGTTTTTTTTTTTTAAAGGGAGACAGAGGTGGCATATTTGTTAAATGTTAGGGATAAGTAAACCTAACATTAAAAATCATGGGAAGAGAAAGTTGCTCTTTAACCCCTTAAGGACCAAACTTCTGGAATAAAAGGGAATCATGACATGTCACACATGTCATGTGTCTTTAAGGGGTTAAAGGGACATACATCACATGACAATTATTTTTTTAAACCGGAAAGTAAACATTTAAAACAAACCAAAATAAAGCAAGAAATGTTTTGAAAAGTATGTAATAAAAATGTATAAACTTACTAAAATCTTGGTCAGATTGCATTGTTGGGCAGCCAACCACACCTTTCCCCTCCCTTCCCCACTCATCTCAGTTTCAGACCAGTCTACTACTGACAGAAACATGGCATCATTGTGCAACAGCAGGAGAGGGAAACATTACACCAGGGACTGATCTGCATGGATTATATTGATCAGTCTCCTTCACTTCTCCCCGTCAGGATGTTGCAAGGTCTTCCAACTACTAATGTGTAAATCTGTTAGGCATACCCAATGCAGTTTTCCAGAATTCCTTGGGATAGGATACTACTAAGTAGTTAGTTCAGTGCCCCCATAGGAGGGGTGTGGAAAGCATAAGGAAGAAGAAGCAGGTAAATATGAAGAAAATCCTATTCCGCTGCTATTTTCAGCCTGCAGAGTGAGGCAACTGTCTCAGTCAAAGCAAAAGATTTAGAATGAGACAGTTGTCTCAAAGCGATGCATGTCCCTTTAACATAAGCTCCTGGAGAAATTACACATATGTCCAAGTTGTTAAAATTGTGGACCGGTTCTTCTGATTAAGAGACACAAACCGTTGTCTATGAATCAGACTGATTTGCTTGTGGCACATTTGAGTCTATATGAGTATTTTGCATGGCCACATCGTTCCCAGCTTTTACCTTTCCACCTTCTTGTAGGGCTTACTCCAGGCTAGGAAACTTTAGTGTGACTTACCAGAAGTGAGAGAGTTGTTTTCCACTGGTTTTTCCCAAGTAACACAGTCAATTGTCAACTTTGTTATAGATTGAGGAAGTTCAGTTGAAAAACATACATCATCCCTAGGGCTTTTGTGTAATTCATGTATCTTAAAAGATATGTATGTGAGCATAGCAACACTGTTTACATATTCCATTTGTGTTCTTTAAAGAATAATAACAAATGGTTAATAGGAAACATCTGATATTTTTGTCGCAGCTCCACAATGTAAAGAGAAATATCTTACATTATTATTACACACATTGTATAAACTAAAGTACATCATTTACTAGAAAAGTACATTTTTATGAATGTTCTAGACTAGAAATTTGCCTTTTTTAAAAAAAAAAAAAATTATTATTATTTTGCTGATGTAATTAAGGACCACTTCCATGCAGACCCACAGAGAGCTGAGTAATAAAAGGCCATTTCATTCAGTTTTCCGCGTATATACATATATGATCTATTTAAAAATATCAACTCAGAATGTCTGGTTACCCCAAGGAACACAACAGGCTGAGAAAGACTACATGGCAACCAAGAAGTTACTCAAATAGTTCAGTCAATCAATATTCCTGTGTTAAAAACAAATTATATTTTTATGAGACCACACTGACCTATACAAACTAAATATATATGTAAGATAATGGTAAATGCTCATGGATGTTCAAATCCCTGTTTAAGGTAGTTTGCTCACTATTGAAAAAATGATGCTGAAGAACCTACAAACTGAGAATATATATTTTTTTTTAACATATGAAAAACTATAAATGTGTATATTAAGCCAGAAAAGGGTGTCTTTTTCAGTTTCAATATACCGTGTGGTTAAAAAGACCTTGTGCAATGTTAGATGTGCGCATGATAGAAACACACTGTAAATGTCTCATCTAAGCCACAGGTTGAATATCTTAAAGAAGAATCGTTAGTCCTGAGACTTTATTACAGTCCTATAACTAGCTAAAAGTTAGCTATGGGTGGTGCTTTTATTAATAGTCTCCATGGGTTTCATTCCCCCCCGCCCTCCCCCCCCAATTATTTATTTATTTACAAGTTTGCTTAGGCATAAATGTTAATTGGATTAACCCTTGTAGTGCCTTATGTTTGGGCTAGTCCCTATGTACAGCACTTTTAAAGGAATGCCCAAGGGCATATTCACTAGTACAGAACTTGTGTGCAAATGCCAATGGGCATGCGCAGAGCACCTAGGGCAACGAGTCACCCTAAACAAGTGCCACAGAGGTAGTAAGTATGTGTGTGTGTGTGTGTGTGTATATGGGACAACATTTAACATGGCTTAAAAACAATATAAACAAGGTGCAACTTTTTTAAATTAGTGGATAATTGTGCTCCTGCTTCTTTAGTGATAACATCTATATGACAACCGTCCTTTAATATTAACAGTGAAAATTCTAGATTATTGTTCAGGCTGAACGTTTTTAAATGTTTTATAACAACATCCATGCTCTGTCTTTGAAATGTGGCAATTCTGCAGCTCTTTCACCCACTGCAAAGGATAAAAAAATGTTTGAGCAATATCCCTGAGGGATTAAAACCCAACGGAGAGGAAAAAAAAATATCCCGCCTGTAAGGGAGTGTTTGTTCAGCAGCATTCCTGGTGTGAGGGAAGACTCCACACCCTGCAATCAGCCGCCGACTGTGTTACACCCCATAACTTGTAACCTGCTGTTTTCGGTTGTTACAAGCCGCCGGGTCTCCTGTAACTGTATGCCAGCCAGGATCCCGCACTGCTTCTATTTACAAAAACTGCGAAACAAGAGTTACATTATTCAAATCTAAGAGTCAAGTAGCTCTGTGCAGCACCTGTATTGTGAGAAAAGAACAGACGTGAAACATAAGTGCTATATGACTGCTCTAACAGACTCACAATTATCTATGATACAGCACATTCTCTAAATGGAATAAGTCAACTGCTTTTTGGGTGTAGCAGGCTGAGAGTGTATGAAACAATTGGGCCATTTTTAGGCAATGCGATCACAGTTAGGCTGCCTTGCTTTAATCCTTGAGGCCAGGAGTTAGCATGGCCATTTTTTCCACATGGCCATTGTCTAGCTAAAATCATTTTGATAATAAAAATAGCAAATGGCTCCCTAATTTGGTATTCTTACATGAGATTTCTATATTTGAGCATAGCTAATTAGGAAGCTATCTACTATGCAGCCGAAAGATCAAAATTCGGAAAAGCCCTCTCCTTAAAGGACCACTATAGGCACCCAGACCACTTCAGCTTAATGAAGTGGTCTGGGTGCCTGGTCCATCTAGGGTTAACCCTTTTTTCTATAATCATAGCAGTTTCAGAAAAACTGCTATGTTTATGTTAGGGTTAATCCAGCCTCTAGTGGCTGTCTCATTGACTGCTTTCCTATGGAAAGCTTTCCTATGGACTGGCTGAATGCGCGCACAGCTCCTGCCGCGCATGCGCATTCATCCGACGAGGAAGAGAAGAGGATGAGAGCTCCCCGCCCGGCGCTGGAGAAGGAGGTAAGTTTAACCCCTTCCTCTCCATCCTGCCCGGCAGGAGGCGGACCCTGAGGGTGGGGGCACCCTCAGGGCACTATAGTGCCAGGAAAACGAGTATGTTTTCCTGGCACTATAGTGGGCCTTTAATGTTGATCTCTGAGCAGTTTAGTAGATTACTCCCTAATTTGGTATCATTATTGCTATATTGAAATATATCAAATTAGGAAAGTATTATTATTATTATTATTAAGCACACTCATTCTCATGCACACGTACATACACATTCACACACATAAAAGCACATTCACACACAACTATTTAAAACACTTTTTTTTAGGAAAGTCAACAAGCCTGTGCGTGGGAGGACTGAAGTAGATGTTCTCCCTGGGGTCCTGTTGTTACAGTTAGGATCACTGTGTCCTTCCTGCACAGCTCCCATATGCACCTTGCAGTGATGATGGGGCCTGCCGGCATCACTATAGGCTAAAGGGCACACGGGAGCTATGCAGGAAGTGCACTGTAAGTAAATAGCTACTTTGTCATGATTTTATTGAGGGCTTTTGCAGGTTTGCAGGGGGTAGGTCTTATAAAACCCTCAGGCTCCGAGTCGCTGATCCCTGTTCTAGGCAAACAGTAATAATATCATATAGTGTAAGTTACTTGCAACCATTATATTTCTTTTATTTTTATATTTATTTAATATAGGCACAGGAAGGGCTGGCAAAGCTTAATGGGTGTTGTGGTTCTATGACAGCTGATCTATCTTTTGACCTCTTTTGATGGTATATGTTTCTAATAATTTTTCCTCTTTCTTTTCTCAGTAGTGTTTGTATTCCTATATGTTATCTACCCTCCAAAAAAGTTAATATTTGCATTATTGACCACCTGTCTAAAAAGCAAACCTGACTCTTAGAAAATTCAGACACCACTAAGACAGATAGAGAGATATCCTTGCAATACACTGTTTAATCTGCTGACACATGCTAAGAGGGAGGGGTAGATTGGCAGGAGAGATTTTTTTATTATCACAAAACTTGGACTAACCTGGCACATAAATAGCACTTTTAAATTGCTACCGGAATACATTGTACATAGAGGTTTTTCTACCATCCTTTTGCCCTCAAAAATAAATGACATGAGCATAATCTTTGCATTTTATATTAAATCTAATACATGTCCTTCTAACCAGGTAGCCTGAAGAGAACTTGGAAATTTGCGTTCACATTTACTAAACTGGTGATGGTGGGACAGTATTCTTCTACTGTATCAAGTTTTGTAGTTCTAATGTACAGTTGACAGGTTGATTAACCTTACCTGCGTTTTCAAGTGTATTGTAATTTGCACTCTTCAGTCTGAAGAGAACATTTTCACTTTCAGATTAGCTAGGAGCACATTAAATAGCAACATGTTTCAGATTATAATAGAAAAAAAAAAAAATCATTTTATTTTCACTTTCAGGATGCAGAACGCACATTGCATGGCAACACGTTTCAAGCACCAGAACAAAAGCCAACCTCAATTGACTTGCTAAAACTTGTTTTTCCTTTTTTCTACAGTGGGAAAACCTCACAAGTGCAACTATTGTGGTCGTAGCTACAAGCAGAGGAGCTCCCTTGAGGAACATAAAGAAAGATGTCATAACTACTTGCAGAATGTAGGCTTGGAAGCTGGACAAGGCATGGGACAACATGGTGGGTGCCCTTGACCATGAATCGAACACCTGTCTCTCATTTTTAAAATCATATTGATGTAGCATACATTAGCATATGAAATTGATTCAGTCTATTGTTTCCAAATCAACTTTATTGACATTATTTTACCATCTATCACTTTATTATGAATGACATTTAATTTACTGTGTCATATGTCCCTACAAACATAACAGAAGACCACAGAACCTTTGCAATGTATCTAAATCAGGCACAGCCTTGTGAATAATCACTTTAAAATATATACAATTGGCCACTAATCTTGTCGGATATATAGGAAAATACATATACATATAAAGCATTGATGTGCTATGAATTAATTGTTGCAACCTTCCAGACTAATGCACTAACTGTCAGAGTAGATAAACAATGTTGCAAGTTTTTGCGGTTTGTACTTAAGAAGTAATAGTAGCCAAAACCTTTTCTTTATTTTTGAGAGCAAAAATATAAACTGTATTGAGAGACTTTTTATTTCTATGCAATGCTGTTGAATCATTTCCAAATGAAATGTACCAAAGCTTGTGCAGCAATGCATTCTGGAGTTTGTTGGTTTACTTTTCAAAAACACAAGAATCATTTAGGTTCCAGACTACAGTAGACTACTCCTCAGTATACCGCAGAGTTCTAGTAGCCTGCAGGTTTTGGAGAATTGGCATGTGCGCCACCTTTTATTTGGGGGTTTCACGAGCACCCCCCTGCAGGGTCTTTTCACATGATGGTAGTAGTGTCTTTATAGGATGTCGCAAGCAGGCAGGCTATTCTGATGTGACATTTTGGTTCTGTGTAGCATCTCCTATGGACGAGAGTAAGAATCCAGAGACCCTGATGGAAAACAACATGTCTCTGATGTCCTTTGAGAGACCGGCTGTCATAGAGAGACTTGCCAGCACCATGGGGAAGCGTAAGAGCTCTACCCCACAGAAGTTTGTGGGTAAGCATTGGCTTTCTTTTCCTACAGTGTGCCGTTATGATAGTCACAGATTAGGTAGAACAGTTAGTAACGGGTCTGGAATCTGATTATATTTGGGGACACAAAGTCTTGATTGAGCAAGTTAACTCTGGGGACTAGCTAAGAACTATGAATAACGCCAAAAACAAACTAGTTAAGCTATTTCACCAAAATAAGTTCTTAAAATTTAATAGCAAAACACAGTTTTGTTATTTATTTATTTTTTTGGTTCATCTTTTTCCTTTAGAAATTGTACAGACACAGTATATTCTTTGCAGGTAAAAACCACTGTTTCCTATGAGAGGAAGTGACATCCATTCTATGCACGTTCCAAAAGGTTAAATTCACATATCTCTGCAGCTTAACAGGAAGGGAAAGTCCCTGCCAGCAATGGTGATATGATTTACATATGCATCACTCCTTCCACTATATCATAAACACACAGAGAGAGACACCTAAATTCAGACCAGAAAAGTAAACAGCATTTCTCACACATTACATGTATATGTACGGTGTGCACCATTCTGCAATGGTTCATGCTAGCAAAATTGGGTCTTTATGTAAAGTTGGAAAAAGATGACAGTGTAGGCCTCGCTGTAGCCTCTGGTCTCTGGAACAGGGATGTCCAAAAGGCTATCAAGGCATCATGGACTCTATAGTTCCACAATAACTAGGGCTTCTACTACCTGGGCATCCTTAATAGTGATTTGTAAGCTATATGAATATAAATAACTGCTTGACAGATTTAAAACATTGGCCGTAGGTAGTTCTTAAAAGCACAAAAAAAAAAAAAATGAACAGACATTCCCAAATGTCTTTTTCAGATTTTTTTCAGCACTGGATTGGGACGATGCAGGGTTAATTTAACTAAGCGAATTCTTAACTCGATGTTCCATTATATTATATAGCATTATAGAATTTGCTGCTTTAAACAGTCATAATGTCATTAAATAAGAGGGACATTTTGTCTTGGAAAACAATCTTTAAAAGGCCAAATTGTTAAACTGGCATAAGCCAGTATAAATATGTTGGATGTCACCAGTGTTTATTTAACCGATTTATACCATGATGCAGAAGGAATCTCAGAACCCTTTAGATAGATCTTAACCATCTTTTGTTTATCAACAATTCTCCAGAATGGCTGCTAGGACTCTGCAAAATGGAGTTTCGATTTATTTATTTTTTTCATTCATTTTAATTGTCCCAGTTGACAAAGGGTTTATGTAAAAAAACAAAATCTGGGGTACATCTAAAAGTGGAGCAATCTCTATGGAAACTAAAATGATGCTGCTGATGATTGCTCAACTTTTTAACCATGCCCTGAAACTGTCCTGTAAAAATAACCCTTCAATACTTCCCGATCTCTCTAATGTCAGAAAATGACAGGATATGTGACAGGCAACAGGAATGAATTTTTATTAGGAAGTGAATGGTCATGTTTTAGAACAATAAAAATTAAAGGGTGGAGATGTATGGAGCAATCTAAGACTAGGTTAGAAAATATGACTGTTTAGATCAAAAGATAGAAACATAGACTTACATACTAAGACTAGCATTAACAAAAGGAATAGGCTGAAAAGTATAATTGAGAGTATATTGTACTGTTATCATTTGATCTCAGTAATTTGTTGTTTAAAAGTAAAAAATGCAATATGGTAAGACAACATTTTGGGTATTCAGTTTTTAATGCATGTTATTAATTCTAGGTGAAAAACTCATGCGATTTGGATATCCTGACCTCCACTTTGACATGAATATGGCTTATGAGAAAGAAGCAGAGTTAATTCAATCTCAGGTGATGGACCAGGCTATCAACAATGCCTTCACCTACCTAGGAGCAGATGCATTGCGGCCCCTGATACACCACTCCACTTCAGCTATGTCAGATGTCCCCCCGGTTATCAGCTCAGTTTACTCTCAGGTCTACCATCCAGGCAGGGTGGAGAGACCCACCAGCAGGGAAACATCAGACAGCAATGACAATAACATGGATGGCCCTATCTCCCTTATCAGACCAAAGAGTCATCCCCAAGAGAGAGAGGCATCTCCCAGCAACAGCTGCCTGGACACCACCGACTCAGAGAGTAGCCACGAGGACCGGCAGTCCTACCAAGGAAACCATGCCTTAAATTCCAAGAGAAAGCAGAGTCCGGTGTATTCTAAAGAGGATGGCAAAGCACTTGATGCCACAAAATCTAACCTAGGCTCCTCCAAGGATGTCTATAGAGTGTTTAACAGCGAAGGGGAGCAGATTAGAGCCTTCAAATGTGAGCACTGTCGGGTGCTTTTTCTAGACCATGTCATGTACACCATCCACATGGGCTGTCATGGTTACCGTGACCCATTGGAATGCAACATCTGTGGTCACAGGAGCCAGGACCGTTATGAATTCTCTTCGCACATTGTACGCGGGGAGCATCCATTTCACTAGCTCAATTACGTGAAAGGTTCTTTTGAAGTAGACTGCACATGAAGAAATACTGCACTTAATACTCCCACTTTTCCTCAGACTTTAGTCACACTGAAAGGATTTACTTTAGGTGGAATTTTTTAAATTTCAAATTTATGTAACATTTTTTTTTCTTTAATGTCTCCGACAAACTGTCTTAGCCTCCCAAGAAAGATGAGAAAAAAAGAGAATTAAATGGCTGTACTTGCTTAGCCAAAATATTAACTTTCCATGGATTTAATAGCAAATTGCTAAAGCACTGTGAGTGGTTTATAAAATAATAATAATAATTATTGTAATAAGAATAATATATTTACAATCATCGACCATAAGATATGTAGGGATTCTAGGGCTTACACATATGTTAGCTTGGACGATACAGGTATCATGGGAAACATAGTTATCCAGTATCTCAAAAATGATTAATTTATAACATGCAAAAATAGTTTATGCTTATCATTTTTTTTTTTTTTTTTTTTTTTTAGTGATCCGTATGCATGTGTCTAAATTTCAAAGAGATTTAAAGGTGCTTAATAATCTGTTTTGGATTAAATCGGGAAGCTCGTCAGATCTTTTACGTCTATGTGTTGTTTGCTAGTTGCATTTTTGCTAGTGTAGAAGTTTGGTATACAGTTGCACAATAGACTGCAAGTTAATATTTTCTGATGAGAAATCAGTGAACTGCCCTGTTTCTGAGAATTTTCATTAATCTAATCTGGAGTTCTGGAGTTCTGTTTACGGCTTTCTTGGGGATTTTTTTGTTGTTACCTTTTTAAAACTCAAGTGACTCTCCATCCACTAGACAGGAAGTTTAACTACATTGGCAAACAACTTGTGAAATATAGGCTCCAATTGTTGATATGGAAAAACCACTGTAATAGTACATGAACTTGTGGATAAGCAAATAAATCCCAAGGTATAATTAGTACTTCTTCAGACCTTTACATGAAGCCTTAGGTTTCATGTGTCATACAGTAAGTCAACATACATATAAGACTTGTGAGTGGACCACAGCGCTGTGGAAATAAAACTTTGGCCAATTTGCTTTTCCCAAGGGAAGGTACATAGACTACTCTATTTAGCAAAAATGTACAAAAAGAATAGACAAACTGTTACCTTTACAAAGTGTCAAATCCTAGTATATACTTAAAGGATTTTGAGATGAAAGGATGAAAGATTTCAGTACTGTGGTAGGACAATAGGATATATGCTCACCTGCCACTATAACCATAAATAACAAATGGGGTATATTCAACTTACTACAAACTGATCATCGTAGGCAAACCATTGGCAAATTGTGACCTAACACTGTCCATCTTTTTCTGTATTTTGCTTCCCCTTCCTATAAGTGCAAAGTGCATAAAGGAACATGTAAATCCAATGTATAGCCTAAAAATACCCTTTTTTAAGAATGTGTGCAATACTGCAGAAATATTAAGGGAAAAGTAAAAATTTTACTTGTAGAATCATAAAAATATGAATACTCATCTATTAGACCCCTTTTAATACCAAAATTGTATATATGCAGTGTTTACTTATATTTGCTCTGCACTTTTAAAATTCTTAGTGCTCCCTTTGAATGTTCCTGTACTGTAAGACAGTATTACTCTTTCACAGTAAGACGTATGGGAACTCTGTTCCCTGTGTGAATATAGTAAGGGAACGGAGTTCCTTTCAGACCTACTCGACTAGAATCCTGCTATGCAGCAAGTTTTAGTGACTTTTGAGCCAGTTTACAAAATCTTGAGTCAAATATTTTACTTAGAATAAAAACTATTTCTAAATCATTATACATTTAGTGTACATTTCCCAGGTAGTTTTCAGGCCACCTAAACTTGCTGTTATGTGGATAGGAATATACTGTTTAAACCATATTTCCTAACATTTTGCACCTGGTATACAGATGTAAAATTTTCTAGCATAAATTAGTTGTAAGTTGCTCCAAATTCACCATACATCTGCCTGCTCTCAGGTGACATACTTTTTCAAAAGTTTTCCTGGGTTAAGGTTTGCAGACTTTTCCTGAACGAATATATTTCACGACTTTGTTGACTTCAAAACACCACTCATTTTATTTCATCTCTCAAACTCTGTAACACAAACTGTGCCAGGATTCAAGTGTAGAACATCAAAAGACTGCAGGTGGCTTAACTTTATTGCACTCAACTGTAAATTGGTTTTAGTCGTTAAACCTGGTATTGATGGGAGTTGATAAGGGAATTGCAAACTCTAGGACCAGATAGCCAATACCTTGTCAGGACAAGTGGGCAGCGTCATCTTGGATGTGTGTCCGTGACCCAGATTGCCACACTGACATGCCCACTTCTGTCCCTACTGCAGCCCCTATACAGTGCATATATTTGGTAGAAATTACATAGAATCAGTTTTGAGAAAAATGGACAAGTCTTTTCTGATCCTAGATAGATGGAAAAGCCCCTGAACCTGTTTCGATGGGCCTGGGGTCCAAAAATGTAACTGTCCCCAAAAATGTGTGAATGTATCCATTGTTAGATAAATTTGCAATGCTACTGAACTGCATGTTACGTGGTTACTCCAAGCATTATAACCACTAAAGCACACTGTAGTGCTTATGATACCAGGAGTATCCTGGCCCAATTCCCCAGTTATGGTGTAACCCATTTAGTAACAGTTTGCCCTCTAACTTCCACAGGGTTTCGAGCCTTCTGAAATGGCCAGATGACTTATCTCTGGCTTCTGCAGAACTCGGAAGCCAATACAGTCACAATTCATTGACTGAGAGCATCAACTGACCGTTGTCAATGTAACACTGGGGGAATAAATTTGCACAGACTTGACATTAGCCAGCCCGGAACTCTGGTTCCAGGCTGGCTGATGACACTCCATGATGCTGCCAGAGGTGGAGTTACACCACCAGCAGATAAGGGGTTAAACTCAGCATCTGGAGCCTTTCACAGCAAAACGCTGCACACACAGGCTCTAGGCATAACCCTTTAAATTAGCAAAGCACACCTATTGCTAAGCACCTTTCGATTTCAATTTTATTTTCACTTCCAACACTGAACCTATTATACAAAGCTCGTACTTGGATCTTATTACTGTTATAAAACTGTAAATCTAAATTATTCCAGTTTTCTCCACGTTAATCTAAAATCTCAATTGCAATGAACATATTACTTGTACACTTATTTGTGTAAGAATCATTTTATTATATATAAAATTTATGTACAAAATGAATCCTAAATAGTTTTATATTTATAAAAGATAAAATTTCTAGCTCCAGTGAAATGTTTACCCTTATCCATTTTTCTGATCAAAATTCTTCCTCTATATTCCAAAAGCATAAAACAAAAGCTGTTAGAGATATAGATTTTGGATAAATGCAAAACATTAAGCAGCAAAATAAAACAGGTTTTATATATTCAGCTATATTGGTTTATTTATTTATATACATAGATATTGATTTGGAACTAGAACTAAAAATCTTGTCTTGATTTTGCTTTGTCATATAAATAATATTGAATTACTTTAATATAACCTCAATTATTATTATTATTATTACTGCTATTTATAAAGCGCCCAGATACCCTGCAATGCTCTACAGTTGGTGGAAATAGACAGTACAGTATAGACAAACTAATATAAAAGGAATGCATAAGCAAGCCATTATATAAAGTACTAAACTAGATAATAACAATATGTTCTATATAGCCGTTCATGGTTATTTACTAGAATAAGATTTGTGGGGAATTCAAAGCGATAAAGCTAAAGTAGCTCAATTGGAGAATTTTTCCAGTCCTTTTGCCTAAATTTTGAAATTCACTTTGAATTCTTAACAATTCTGATTTTAGTAAATAACCCTACCAGTCTTTAAGAGTCTGTTACTTGACATTCACTTGGAATCCCCCAAAAATCATGGTTTATTGAATAACCTTGCAAAGGATCCATAAACCTGATTTGTATCATCAATGAAAATGATCTAGTTCCCCCCTCCCTAAAACTGACCTTTTATTTGATACATGTGGGCATATGAGCTACAGCAGCAGTGTTTGATTGACTGTTTCAGAGTTCACCTTAGTATACCTATGCTTTTATTTAGGAGGTCTGGCTATAGTCAGTGGTGGCTTTATATTTTAGTTGAGTTCAGTTCACTATCTAGTGATAGCCAAATAGAAAATGCAATTTAAGCAGTACCAAGTGTTTTATTTACATAGAGCCAAAAAGGGAAACTAAGTAAAGAGGGGCAGTGGGATTTGTACTAGATTAGAGACTGCCCTCCCTTAATAGGGTCACCTGGGAGGTATGAATACGCACACTGACTTAATGCATTCGTATATCCATGCAGTACATAATGGGCTTAGGATATTGATTGCTATTTAGCCAGATTAATGTTTTTGTCTCAAAAATGTAATTAGTGCATTGAGAACATGCATTTGCAGAGTAGCATTAACCATAAGGTGGTTCTTGGGCAATGCCTTGAAACCCTGGGGTTTGACAGGGAACCCGGAACCATGAATTTGTTTGGCCCCATTAACCATCCCAATGTGAAGAATAAAGGGGAGACTGATAACTTGACTTAATCTTTCTCTGTGTTTGGTTGTTTTTATGGTGATAAAGAATAGTGTTCCATTATGGAGGGTTTCTAGACTAGTGTCTGTTCTGGATGCCAATGTGTGCTAACTTTTATTGCTGCTATAGAGATTGCTAAATATGTATTTTCACAGTAGTTGTGGGAGCAATGCAGATTTATCCAGTCTTGCTTCCAGTAAACATTAAAATAAGAATGAGATGATCCTTTACCATAGAGATCATGAAAAACCACATATCTGTATGCAGTTCAATACTGATTGTATTGCTTTCGTAAATAGACAGCAATATGAGGATCATCATTTCCTGCATGTATCACTGCAAACAATGCATTGGGTCTCTGTCGGACCTGGTGCCCAATTTATTCATATGCCGACAGCGCAGAGTCATTGGCTCACACGCATTGTTGCATATGTTATCTGTACACACAGTATCCCTATTACTAGAAAGGTCTGATGGGCCAATATTTTGAGCATTAAAATAGAGCTGCGGTTGTATGTATGAAACTTTCCCTGTCCAACGTGAATTTGAAAAGACCTATATTTCAACACACTCTACCTTAACACCTTGATAGACACCAGCAACTAGCCAGATTCTTAGTTTTATTTCTAAAGCGCCAACATATATGATCACACCGTACAAGGGATAAAAAAATATACAAGCAATTGTAATGAAACAAGCTATTGGTACAGGATGATACCTTGTGAAGGTCATCCCCAGACAGGGTTATCTCAAACCACCAAACAGTGCAGGTTGTGGTAGAAACCTATCATTGTCGGCTGGTCTATCAGAAAAACCTTCATTAATAGGTGTTAAGATTCTCAAACTGAAATCTCTGACTCACCCACCCCTGTATTGACATGTCTTACACCCATATTCTGTTTATCATGTCTATATTTAGCAAAGTCTTGCTTGAAAACACTCACTGCTGTGTTATGCTGCTTAATTAGATTACATATAAATTTGTTTATTATCAATTTTGTAATGTCAGTCTGTGCATGTTAGGAATAAATCTAGTGCGGTTTTCTCTGCCAACTTTAGTAACTAATAATGCTGCTTTTATTTAACGCCAACCCATCAACATGCGACGATCTAGGAAAGCCTCAAATACCTGCTCTTAAAGCATGGATCACTGTCTAACTAAATAGTATTTTCACTGGCATAGAAGGGAATACATAGATAGTGAAAGGATTGTGATGTGCACACTATTGTTCACTGTCTCTGAACTTCATTACCAAAAGATAGTCAGGTATACTCTGCTGGCATAGCATGATGGGAAATGTAGTCAATGAGTGTGTCTAATGTCGAGATTATCCACCAGGAAATTAAGTCATAGAGGTTCTTAAAAAAAAGCAGATTTCTTTTTATGGCAGTCAGAGACTTGCAGTTGCCCCTTAGATTATCCCTGTTTACGTTTTCCCCCCATAATTTAACCAAGGGTTAGAAGGTCATGAAGAACCGAATGGTCTGTGATGAAGTCACGTTCATAGGATATTGGGTGTATTCTAGTAGATGAGAGATAGACATAAGAATCAGATGATCGTTATTTTGTGTTTTACAAACCACTCTCAGTGAAATATTCTTCATTGTAATTAGGTGTATCAAACTTTTACTCAAACTTCCAGATCTCTTGTGTCATCTTTGATGGGAGACCTGTGAACTGTACATATAGGAGGATTAAAAGGTTATTTTTATATCTGTGACATTAAACCAGAGACTAATAAAAGCTACGTGTTTCTGCTATCATTCTGAAAGGTTAAGGGTGTGAAATATGTCCACCCACCCTCACTGCCAGGCACTGCATTCCTCATCTACTGTGTTATCTGATCTCTGATACATTGGGGGCAAACCTTCAGAAGATGAAACGCACTTCAAAAGGACTTGGGTCAATAAATCCCAAAATTACCTCATGTGACACCTCAAGGTGTCTGAAGAGGATGCTCCACTTTGTCCTTTGCTATGCACTTACTGGTGTCTGACAACACTGGAATCATTTGTCATTATCTGTACATTGAATCAAAGGACAGACTTTGTTTTTTTTTCTTTATACTGTGATCAACAATCTAACTCCAGGTCATCAATGCTGGGACTTTTACAAAACTGTTATCAGTCATATTTGTGTAGCAGCATCTCTAACCTCTCGTCTATTAGGGGTGTATCAAAACCCAGACATCTTTCATCTGTTTATAAATTAGAACCATTATATATATATATTTGTACATAGTGTGTGTGTGTGTGTATGCGTGTGCGTGCGCAGAATATTATTCTGCCATTCCTTCAGAGCTGTCTCTTTCTATGTGCTCAGAACCATTGGGGCATGTGTATCACATAAACCCCCTGGCAATGTTGTTTTTTTTGTATGCATAATGAATTATTATTTTGTTTGTGTGTGACTTTAAAAGGCACCTGTCACTCTCCAGGATTTTTCATATTATTTTTTTTACAAATACATATTTGTGAGACGTGAGAAATAAAACTGAATATAGAAACCCACACCTATATTTTCCTGCAACTGAGCAACTCCATATTAGCCCTCTATTATTTATTGTATAATGAATATAATGAATGTTATGAGCTCTGTCCTTTGCATCTGGCAGTCAGCATAGGGAAAGCGTCCAGTGAAGAGGAGAAATGAAACAATGTTTCTGTGTCTCCTCTTCATTTGCAACATTTGCCTTGTCTGAACTGGATTATGACGTAATTTGCTAAATTTAATATGAATTTAAAATAAATACAAAGTATCGCATTTAAAAAAAAAAGTATAAAGTTACAGGTGATTTCCAATGTTTTATTCAATTATGTAAATTCCAGAGAAGTGACCATTTCCTTTTAAACTTTCACATAAGTTACGATCAATAGGTCATGATGTCTCCTAAAATGTATTGGCAAGTTCCCACGTGAATACCCTCAATCACGTCCTGCTAAAATAATAGATCCTCCTTTTCTCATTTCAAATGATGGGAGGTATGTGTGTGTGTGTATTTATGTATATATTTATTGTCCTTTCTGCACACACAGTACATATACTAGCAAGTAATGTCATATATTAACAATATGTATTGTTTCTTGTGCTTTGACCAGTGACTCCCAATCTAGTCCTCAAGGCACACCAACACTCCAGGACGTGTCAATGTCTCAATTGGAATGGAATAGGGAATGACTTATATCCCTAACTTGTGGTGTGCATTAAGAGCTAGATGATTTATAGTGGAACTATTTGTCCCACAATCTTTGTGTGATAAAGTTCTATTCAGATGAGAGAGAGAGAGAGAGAGAGAGAGAGAGAGAGTGTGTGTGTCTAAAAAAAAACAAAAAAAAACATGAATTCAAAAAATTATTTTGTGCTAGTGAAATATGTAAATTAAAAAAAATCACTAATGAGCAAATGAATAGAGTAAGTGAGTTACCCACCTAAAGTTTTATCATTCATGTCTGTTTAGTGGGCTGCACATGCTCCTGTGCCTACCCACAATGCAACTAGGAAATGTGGAGCTGTTGTAGGTCATATACCTACATGGATGTCTTATAATACAATAAAACGTCAAATATTTATAAAATGTAATCTATCTATATGAATTGTTGACAGATGCACTTTACATGTTTGATACACCCTTAATAATCTCTTAACCATTTCACAGCTGCAAAGTTTGCATTACACGAAACAGTGAATGCTAAGCATTTGTGGCACTAAAGTAAACTGTTTAGGTACGCGTTGTTTCCCCCCCTTTTTGCTATGAAAAGGGCTGTATGCCCCATTGGGTTACACGTTCACTAAATACAATGTTTAACATTAAACGCATATAATCCACATGATCTCGATAATTAACGGTGAAGTGTATAATATGATTTTGTTTCATCACCCACTTGTTCATTGCATTGTACAGTCTGTTTACATATTTTTGTACTGAATTGTAGTTTTATATTTAAAACTAAGAAAAGGACAGGATAAGAAAAAATGCTGTATAGACAATTTAAGGGATTAGATATGTTAAGGTACATAATCTTTGTAATGCATCAATTAGAAAATCTGGTAATTATCTTACTGTAAATGTATAAATGCCTTTTTTGTTTTTTTTGGTTAATAATTCTGGTTGTAAATTTTATGGTTTTGCTCTGAAAAAATGTATATCTTTGTATAAGAGACTGGAAGCTTTTAATGTAGAAGAAAGAAATTCTTATACGGTAACTTTTTTTTTTTTGTGGGGAGGAAATAAAACTGCTTTAAATACATTTAAGTAAATATATATTGTCCTATTCCAGCAGTTGATGGGGAAAGAATGGAAAAAATGTTTGCTCGGTACCAATGTTAATTCTGAACCAATTCCTCTGTTCCTGCGCAGATGAAAACCTTTGTCTTTTAAATTTGGAACAAAATGTTGAATTTACATCCAATGTGTCTTAGTCTTTGGATCAAATTCAAATTCTGAGTGTCTTTGACCACTATTATTATTCGCACACTCACCTGCAATAACCCTCATTCAGGTTGTGGATCCACAACTACCAACATTTTTTGCCATCTGCATTTCATAATATTTAAACCACCACGTTTTAACCCCTTGCTAGATCTTGTTCCAATTTAAAATACAAACAGCAGTGTGCGTCACTTTTGCTGCCTGTTCTCAATGTTTGGGGACTAAAATAGGAAGGTTGAGTTTATTTGCTTATGCATGATGTTAACCTTTTCAGTGTCAAAGGGACTAGCAACAACATTTCAGGGCACAGTATCTTGAGCTACATCACTGGAAACTTAGGTGTTAATGTCCTATTAATCTGTTAAACTACGGAGGCATATTAGAATGCCTTACTTATTCCATTGCCACTCAAGAGGTTTGGTTTCTACATCTCTGGATTCTGTTGGCCCTCTGTATGAATGTTTTTGTGTACGCATGGGGAAGAAGGGAGGATTTATTCAATGTTTTTGTTTGTTTTATATGTTAAAGCTGTGGGATCTTTGTGTTGATTTCGAGAGTTGTAATAACTTGATTGCACAACTACTGGAATAAACTTTTTATAGGGAATCTCAGGAACAAATATTGCCTTTGTGCTTGTCTGATTTATCATTTAACTCCAGTATAAAGTTGGAAAAAATAATGAATTTCTGTATTCGGTAGTGCAATTAAACAAAATGTAATTGTCACAAATACAATTACTAGCTGGTTTGAAGCTCCAGGAAACAGTTGTTTTTACAGCTGAATAAAAGTGAGAAATTAAATAAATTTTTTTTGAGATTTGTTGAAACATATTCACTAAACTGAGAATTCTCAAAAACTGAAATTGCTAATTTTAGGGCTGTAAAATAGCTGTACTAGAAAAACTCGACGGTTAACCAGATCCATAATGGCATAACACAGTTTTCAATCTAATAGCCATACTCCCTAACTATTTATCTCCATGTAACAAGCATTTACTTGTAAGAAAACTAGCCTGAAATGCCAGAAACATTTACTCTAGTCCTAGTTACTTTTTAACGCAATCAAAATCCCTAATGCAAATTAATCCTAATATGGCTTCACAAAATGCCTAACCATCCTTATTTAACACGTTCACTGCCATGAGTCAAAGCAGCAACATTTGTAGTAGTAGTAATAGTAATCTATTCTTTTCTTATTTAACCAGTGGCTGCTGGTGGAGGTTTAAGATGGTGGGGTGCCAGACTTCTCCCCCACAATTTACTTAATCTCATGTACTCAACCCTTAATGGTCATCCCCATACAATACTCAGAGCTAGGTATAATATAGAGATGCCCAAAGAGTACAAAGAAACCAGTACAATAATGAGATAAGTATAATACAGAGACACAGAGCTCAGAACAATACAGAGATAACCATGCAACACACAGAGCTTAGGACAATACAGAGAGAGAATAAACAGAGGTGGACATTTTAAGGAGCTACCCATTACTATCCTAACATACAGGGACACAATGATGGAAACACAGAGCTGCAATACAGGTATGCACACATATTAAAATGTCACTGTATAATGTTCCAGCTCTCTCTAGCTTGAGCCCTCTCTGAATCTCTAGCTCTCTCTAAGGTGTCTATTCGTTTCCTGCTGCTTTTAAAGGACCACTATAGTGCCAGGAAAACATACTCAGGGTCCCACTCCTGCAGGTCTGGATGGCGAGGAAAGGGTTAAATCTTACCTTTTTTTTTTCAGCGCCGGGCGGGGAGCTCTCCTCCTCCTCTCGCCTCCTCTTCGGCTGAATGCGCATGCGCGGCAGGAGCTGCGCACGCATTCAGCCAGTCTCATAGGAAAACATTTATAATGCTTTCCTATGGATGCTGGCGTCTTCTCAATGTGATTTTCACAGTGAGAAGCATGCAAACGCCTCTAGCGGCTGTCAATGAGACAGCCACTAGAGGCTTTAGAGGCTGGATTAACCCATTTATAAACATAGCAGTTTCTCTGAAACTGCTATGTTTATAAAAAAAAAGGGTTAATCCTAGAGGGACCTGGCACCCAGACCATTTCATTAAGCTGAAGTGGTCTGGGTGCCTAGAGTGGTCCTTTAAGGAACAATACAGTGTTAGAAATACAAATCTGTATTCCTAACTGTATTGTGCCCTACTTTCTGGTTTATTTTAAATCTCCCCTCCCATATACAGTATTTTTTTTTTTTTTTTAAAGGCTTTTACTTACCTTTACTTTAGCTGAGGCTCCCTCGGTACTGCCAGCCGCTCTGCCCCTTACAATGGCCAATGGCATCCTGCTCAAAAGCAAAAAGCTAATTCAGTGCTTCTTAAAGGGCAGCATTGGAAACTGATGTGCATGCATCCAAATACTTTGCATAGGAAAGCATGGAATTCAGTGCTTTCCTTGCAGCTTCTACTTCAGTGCAGCTGAATCGCCTCTTGTGGCTGTCCACTCGAGGTAGATTTAACCCTTCTATGTAAACATTGTCATTTCTAAAAAAAAAAAAACTGAAATGTTTTAGACTGCAGGTTAAAACTAAATCACTGCAGCACCCACACTACTTCATTGATATTAAGTAGTCTGGGTAACTTTAGTGGTCATTTAACTAGGTCATCAGGGCTGCCATCTGAAATTTTGGGGCCCCTTACACAGATCAAGGTCTAGGCCTCTGGGGCCCACCCCCCAAGTTAAGCCACGGAGTCCACACTCAAGTCCACCCACAAGGATGCAGTGCATGTGAGTGTATAGTTGATGCAATGTGTGTTTCTGTGTAAATATGTGGGGTAGGATAGGGATGTGTCAGTGTTCGTGCGAGAACCTGTCGGCAGTGGAAGCTGGAATCTACTTGGCCCTCACTTCACTATTCAAGCCAGTAGTGGCCCGGGCATCCATGGATGCATGTTTATAAACAGTGATACTCGCTGTATATGCACATTGGGAATATAGGGCCCAGTCCTGTTGGGAGCGCTGTGTGCTGTGACTTTGCTCTGAGTTTGCTCTACACTGATAGCAGTAACTTCTAAATCTAGTTTCACTATAGATTGATCAGTGAAATTAATTTGCTAGAAAGTTAGTGAAATCATAGGTTATTCGTGCAGACCCAGCTCTCAACACACAGTGTGCACAGGATTAACGCAGCAAGATACCAATAAACTCCTTATTACCTTTGCAGCTGGCAATACAATTCATATGTGGTGGTAATATGGAGCCAGCAAGTAGCTGACATGGTTAACAGAATCAACAAATCATTACATATTGAAACTATCAGAATCAGCTCAGTACTCAGTCACAGCCAGTGGTGTATTCTGGTTTTGTGCTGCCCAAGGCATGACAAACCTCAGGCACCCCCCACACCCCTTTCCAAATTTAACTTCCTGACAGACACATGCCCTCACTGATGCATGCACTGACATACACTCACTTACAGATACAGAGTCATTGTCACACACACACTGAAACATACACATTCACAGTTGCACACAGATTCACAGACAGACACACACATGTACACTAACAGACACATACACACTCAATGACAAGACACACATGCATACTTGGGCAGACTAGATGGGCCGAATGGTTCTTATCTGCCGTCACATTCTATGTTTCTATGTTTCTATACTTACTGACAGATGCACACACACATATACTCACTGACAAACACATACACACTCACTGACAGGCATATATACACTCAGTGTCAGACACACACATTCACTGACAGATATACACATTCACTGACAGACACACACTCTCAGTGACAGACACAGATACACACTGACACACGCATACACACAGTGATAGACACACATACATACACACACACACTCATTGACAAACAGTGACTCTCAGTGACAAACAGACACAAACTCACTAACAGACACACACACACTCTAACAGACACACACACTAACACTCTCTAACAGACACACACACTCTCACTAACAGACACACTTACAAACACATACTAACACACTCACAATTTTATTTTTTCTTACATTTTTGATTTTTCCCTGTGGTCCAGTGGGGCTGCTGCTGCTGGCTGGGCTGGCAGGCAGTCGGGGGGACAGGAGCAGAGTTCAGACAGGCGATGAGGGAGCTCTGATCCTCCTGCTCAGCTCCCTCGTACACCTCTCAGTGATGCGGGGCTGGAGTGACGTCAAATTCTGGCTGCGGCATCACTGCAGTGCGTACGAGGGAGCTGAGCGGGGAGAGCTCAGGGGACAGTGCTCCCTCACCACCCGCTTACATCAGGCGATGCCAGCCTCGGCCACCCTGAGGTGGCCAGCTGGCCAGTTCTCTGGTCCCCCAGGGCAAGAGGCTAGCCAGAGCGTTTGGGGGTGGCTTTTATTGCCTCCCCCTGAAAGTGCCACCCAAGGCAAATGTCTTGTCAGCCTCGCACTAAATACAGCGCTGGCCACAGCCCCAGTCTTGTAGCGTGGAACTATTATAGAATGCAATATCGAAACCATTTTGATAAATTCCATTTTACTGCTTTTTCAAAATCTAAATCCTTTATCAATATCTTCATAAAATTAATCAATTGATAGATTAAAAGCTCCCCAAACTGTAAGGCCACGTTGCTATACACATTTTGTGTCACATGACACTTTCAGGAAAAACTTATAGTGCAAATATCCGGTTTCTCTCTTTTCTTATTTTATGGTCTCTATGGTTACCACCTTGTTAAAACACAGCAAAAATACCTGCATATACATAAGTGGGGATTTGTAGCACTGTACGCAGTTTTAACTAGAGCTGGTCAGGGCCTAATCGCTACTGCTGTACTGTGTGTCCCATTTTATAAGACAATCTTCACCATGGTGTTCTATCTGTTTGTTCTTTTTTATGAATACCTCTGTACCGGAAGATGGGAGGAAGGCAGATGTTGTTCCTATATTTAAAAAGGGTTCAAAATCCTTGCCTGGAAATTATAGACCTGTGAGCTCAACTTCTGTGACTGGGAGAAAATTTGAAGGGCTATTAAGGGATAATATTCAGGAATTCATTGGGAACAACTTTGTTATTAGCAATAATCAGCATGGTTTTATGAAAAATAGGTCATGTCAAACTAACTTAATTGCATTCTACAAAGAAGTAAGTAGAAATATAGATCAGGGTGTTGTAGTGGATGTGATCTACTTGGATTTTTCCAAGGTATTTGATACGGTTTCACACAATAGGTTAGTCTTCAAACTAAAAGAAATTGGTCTAGATGATTATTCTTGTTCTTGGGTTGAACATTGGCTTGAGGATAGAGTACAACGAGTTGTCATTAATGGTAAATATTCAGGCTGGACAAAAGTAGTAAGTGGTGTCCCTCAGGGTTCTGTTTTGGGACCACTTTTTTTTAACATATTTATAAATGATCTTGAAACAGGCATTGAAAGCCATGTTTCGGCATTTGCAGATGACACAAAACTTTGTAAAGTAATAAAATTTGAGCAGGATATTGCTTTGCTGCAGAGGGATTTGGATAGATTGGGGTATTGGGCACTATAATGGCAGTTGAAATTTAACGTAGAGAAATGCAAAGTTATGAACTTTGGGGTCAAGAATGCACAAGCAACTTACACCCTAAAGGGTAGTGAATTAGGGATAACCACACACGAGAAGGATTTGGGAACTGTTATAGACAACAAATTAGGCAGCAATATGCAATGTCAATCTGCAGTTGCTAAGGCCAGTAAGGTTTTGTCATGAATAAATAGGGGCATAAATTCTCGGAATGAAAATATAATTTTGCCTCTTTATAAATTTCTGGTAAGACCACACCTTGAATATGCT